AAAATCTGGCATCATACAACAATACGTATAACACAACGTACATAAGTATGAAGATGTTAAAACAATATATCGTGTTTGTATATAGAGCTTTCCGTGTCTATCGTAGGACACTGTAGATTGTGATCACTAAATAATGATTAAGGATTTTTTCGAGGCGTACCGCATGTATCGTTGAATATTGACGCGGCTGAGCTTCAAAGTGAAAACAAAAATGACTGATTTTTTCTCATATTTCTAGTATGCTTGTTATTATGATTCGAATAATTTAGATAAAATGTACAAATAATATTTTAATCGCGTAAATTTATATTTATCTTGTATATTAATTATAGTCAATATCTATGTGGTTTGTGTGTGTGTGCGCGCGCGCGCGTGTATATCTTGTTACCGCATCTCTATCTCCATTAATCAATAATTGTGCGAAAAACGTTTTCACACATGAGTTTGCTCATTACTATTTCTCTTTAACAACTTGCGTCGATTATGCAATGCACTATATGTAAATCGGTTTATATTGAGAAACGAAAAAATCCGTCGCGTGCCATGCCAGATTTCCGCATTTTCTAGCTTGTCTGAATCGAGATCGAATTCTGTTGCATAAACAGTCGTTATAATGTTATTTACCAATCGTTACGTGATAATTATTTATGTTCATCGAAAGCCGCTTTCTTTGTGAGCGTTTAAAAATTATCCAACTTTGTCATTTTTAAAGGATAGATGAGCTACTTTAACATTTTTTATCGAATGCATGTATTTGGATTATTCGGAAAGTTTGTAGGGATTGAGCAAATTATGTTGAACAATTTTTTTTTTCTCCCAGAAAGACAGAAAGTTCTGGGAGGATAGAATTATGAAGCTGCTTAAAAGATGGCAGAGTCATTGAAAAAAAAACAGCCAATATATTATTAGCTAAAGATATCTAAAGATATCTAAAAATATTCGAATTTTCCTTAAAATCCTTAACTTTCCGAACAATCCAATAATTAGATTATTTATATTTGATTGGACATTTAAATATAATTGGATTATTGAAATTAAATCTGTCACTGTTAATACATATATCAAACCCATTTCTTACTCTATATATTTTATTCAGTTTCAATACCAAATTATTTCTTTTATAGAAAAGAATATTAGCGAACCATGTATCGTATTTTCTCGTTGAAATTTTTTCAATAATTCTTAATAATTATAATTAGCTACACTATTATTAATTGGTCATTCCTCCCAATCCATTTCTCTCGGAATTGCTTATTTTAATATTGCTTACTTTAATTTTGTTCGTCGCGAATAATTATATATCTGCACGATAAATATAACTGCACCTGACGAAGAGAAAATCAAGGACGAGCTTGGCTGACCGAGACCTCAAAGTCGATTACTTCACTCTATCGTGCATCGTAATATACAGATGCATAATAAATTAATGGCCGCTCTTCTAGATTTTTAGACCTTGGGTTTCAGAAATTCTGGAAAGTCTTTCAGGATGATCTGAACTCCTTTCCTCCTCGTCAGTTTTCCAGCCGAATTTCCGGCTAATAAGGGTGTAACGGAGGTCGGAGAAACTTTCTCCATCAAACTTAATGCTCGGTGAAAGTGTTTCTTGTACGCGTCTGCGTGTGCAGCGCCGAATATCGCCTTCTCTATCAATATCGTTTCTTAAATGAAACGATACTGTTGGATATTTCGGTGAAACATTATTAAATCATTGCTTTCCGAATTATTTAATTTACGAACAAAATGTATTATTAATTCTTATTTAATTATAAAATATCTCAAAGCAAAGAGAGAAACTGATCCGTAAAATAGATTAACTCGAATGCGATGAGTTTTTTAATTCATCTACGTTCTGTAACGCGTATGATTAATAAAAAAAAGGGGGGGAAAACGGAGCAAATTACTTTCCTTTCAAAGGGATAATTAACGTCTGTCGTCGATACCATCGGAATGAATTGAACAAAGCGTGTCAGTAGTAAGTTTCTCCGTGGGTGGAGAACCGCAACTTTCGATCTCGTTTTCCCGTCGAATTCAACGCACTGCTTAGCGGCCGATTTATTGAAATTTTATGGAAGCAGATCGGACTTTCTTTCGTCAGGCGCGGCGAAGGTCGCTCTTTTCACCAGCAAACAAGAGTGACGAATTGCCGATACGTATGACGGAATCATCGCGCGTAACAGCGAGTTACGAGCCGATAAATAACAATCTTGAAGTTTGCACATTCTATCGAACGACATGTTAACACACGTTAAAGCTGATATAAATTTTACACTCGAGTATTATTACCCTCTTTCTGTCATTATTATTATTCTTCTCATAAACTTTATAAAATATTCCGCAAACATATCTCTATTTCACTGGTTGATCTTTAAAATGATTGAAAAAATGTTGGACAATTGATAATAATTTTCCTATAAACATGATATTTTAATGGATTTTTACGTCCGGCTACGAGATCCGAGATGAATCTGCGAAACAAAAGAATATATTACAACATTTTACAAACGAGGAAATAAAACTCGTCGGATCGCGGTGAGAAAGTTACGTCGCCTGACTAGTGTATGAAATTTTAATCGAGACGTAACGCTTGAACGAAGGTATCCCAAGTGACAAGTTCCAAGTGCCGATCAACGGGATAAAAAGATCAATCATCTTACATAACAAACATGAAAATCTGGTTACCTTCATCCGCAAGAAAACAAAATGTCTTCAGAATGATTAAAAAATTGAATTTGAAAAGCAGAACCCGCGTTTTCCACCTGAAAATATCTAGATGTCAATGGTTTTAGAATTATTTTCCGAAAGCAGCAACTTGTGCTTTAAAAAATCCTACTCTTTTCATTCAAATAAACTTCTCACGATTTATAGTTAATTATTTGTCAATAAAAACGTCAATAAAGACATTGGCAGATAGCGAGCAATCATTTTCGTATAGCAATAGCTTTTGTGACATGTTTCAGTTAAAAGTTAAATTATTTTGCAGCAACGTACAATGTGGGTTCTTAATTGACGCTGATGATCGGTTCCCTTCTCTTGCTGAGTATTTTTTCTTATTCCTTTCGCCAAGGAGAGGGGCGAGGTCGTACTTCAGCGTCAAGTATCTATACACTTATGTATTGATTATCTGCATTCCAATATCGGAAAGTAATTGTTATCATTATCTTCAGTTAACGTGTGCATTTTTTATTTTCTCTCTTCTTATTATTATTATATATATTTTATCATTCAAACGTATCCCACCTTTGATTGTCCGATCAGAATTTCAAAATGAGCTGATATTTTGCTATGTTTATGTGTACATATTATATCGCAATTTTTAAATATTTAAATTAATTGCATATGCTAATGATTCTTAATAGAATTAGTCTCTTCTATCTATTTATCTATTGTTGAATGGTTGAATAGTGGAAAGTAAAGGAAGAGAAACGGCGTGAAGAAAGGGTGTGATTCGTTTCCCGCCGGTGATCTTCCGGGATGATTGGCAGATCGGATTAGTTTCAATTCACGCTACATTATGCATTCCGTCTATCGCATGTTTTGCGTTTAATCAACGCGATCTTGATTCTACATATCGCGATACATGCATATCGGAGCACATCCCACTTCCTCAGAAATTGCGTCCCGCAATTATGCTTTCTTAATTCGCGCCGCGAAAGTTTCAATCTTGCGAGTTTCACGGTGCATCTGTTTTTTCTTTCCTTCTTCTAAATTTCAATGTAAAAAAAGAACTGATTCCCCTTAAATTAGTCTTGAATGATTTTTTAATTAATCTTTAATTGCGAGGAGCGATCGTGAGATTAGCCATTCTCATTGGCGATCAAAAGATACGCGAGGGTAGCGATTTGTAACTCTGACAGCAATAGTCAATTTTAATTCTTAATGGCCTGAGTTTTTAATTCATCAAAAGATGTTTTCTTTTCCACAATTATTTAATTACCATAAATTTTCTCAAATTCTTGGCCAAATTTAAATAGAAATTACGTAAAACAAAAAATTCTTACAGTTTTCAGACTTTAGTTGACAAGATTTTTTAAAATTTATACCCATGTTCTCTCAGTTATTTGATTATAATAAGGCCAACTCTCTTCGCATCAATAATTCTTCATCGCATTTAAAATGCGCTTTGTCAAGGACTTCCAAACAGGTGCATCCTGCGGGAATGCGACGGTGTAGCCGCAAGGAGTCTCCCACTACTTTGAGAGGACCGAATTCACCTCATCTGGTGGAGGTAACTTTCAGCGGAATACGCTATATAAGAGAGTAACATGTCGGCCGGCCAAGATAAAGCGAGCGCGTGTTGTTGATCTTCCACGGTGTTTTGCTGTCCACGGTGTTTTGCTGTCCGAACTATCCCGCTACCTTCATCACACCTGACAGGTAAGTGGGCCTTAAATCAGTGAGACTGCAACGTCAGTGAAGTGCGCCTTGAAGAATCGAGAGACTTTTGTCGCATTATTGTGCTCTGACTGTTGTTGCTTGTTTCGAGCAAACAGATTTAAAATAACTTGTTAAGTCTAATAACATTTGCGCTCTGTGTTCGACATTAATTTTTTATTTTTCTATAGTCACAAATTTAACTTCAATATGTCAAAATATAAATGTGTTAACTTCAAATTAAAAACCCTTCTTTCTTTTTTATTTGTACTTAAAATATTAAAATATTATATATTATATATAATACAATTTTTTTATTAAATAATACTCTACGATTTTAGAGAGAATTCTAATGGTTTGCTTTTTTTCTGGAAAAAATTGCGACTGAGACTTAACGCTCTTATCTTCTTGCAATTTATTAAAAAAAAATTAAAACATCACACTCTAAATTTTCATTGTTATTATCACTTTCTAGATCACTATCTGGAAATTATCACGATCTATCTTTGATTATTATCGTTTTCTAGATCACTATCTTACAACTTAAAGAAATTTCTTTTTTTATAAATTCGCAATCTCTATTGATCTTTAACTAAAGTGTTAAAATTATAAGAATGCCACTTCTATTATTCTCGACAGAATTCTAATATTTTTAAAATTTTTTCTGTTTTGCAATTCCTATTCAAATGGCTGAAATTTAACGCTTGATTAACGTAAAAATGATAAGAATGTGATTAGCATTCTAGGGTTAATGACTGCACTATTGAGATACGTGTGATTTAAATACTTGACTTCCTTCTCTCGCAACCGAATAATTTCGCAGTGCGCCCAACCGGTTCTCGCCAAGCACGTGTCATAATTCGTGTTCTACCGTGCGTGACCAAGTTAATTTCTCTCTAAAGCTCTTGGGGTTGGTGCTCCCTCCCCCCTTTCGGTCTATGCGTCTCGGTTTCTGGTGTGAAACAATATTGCTATCGAAGAGAAAGCACTTCTGCAACTCGCTGCTGCACGCTGTTTTAAATTTTTATTCTTTTTTTATAATTTTGCACATTCACTGATTAGCTCAATTAAAATACCGTGAAAAAAATTTCTTCCTCGTATTATACGAGTCGAGAGTGTGCAAAATTGAAATTCAGATCAAAATATAGATAATATTATAAGATAATATTATTAGAATATTTAATTATTGTATGAATTCAAATTGTCTAATAAATGTAAATATAAAAAGTCCCAACTTTTTGGAAAATTTCTAAGCACAAGACATATTTCTCTTTTATTAATTTTAAAATAAATAATTTAGCAACATAACTTTTAAAATCGCGCTACATTCATCATATATAAATCTGATGACCTCGATACACAATAATCGTTCCATTCCTTTCTCCAGTTTTTTTTCCCCTGAGCTTAATTAATTTTTATTACATTAAATACTTTTCTCTATTGAGAATACTCATTGAAATACTAATTATTAGACTTTTTTTCAAAGATAAATTCAACGTAAATAAAAAATAAAATATAATATTAAAAAGAAAATAACATTAATATTATTCTAACAAAAAGAAACAAGATTAACAGCAAAACCGGATAGATCAATGTGTCATATTTCGTGCAGAATTCTGCGAAAATGTCACCTGCGGTGACTGCTCTAGATTTCCTTAAAACAACCGGTCGACTTGCACAAGTTACGCGTATTATAGTATGTAGCCGCCTTCGTAGTCGTCGGACAACTATCTCTTTTTCCATTATGCAATATTGCTTTCTTTGCGCAGCAAGCGGGAAGTCGCTGCGAGGAGAACGCCCTTCTGATACACTACACGCGTATATATTACGGAGCTTAATAATAAATAGATCATTACGCATAATTGTAGGAGAGATTATGAATAATAATCAGTGCTTGACGGAGAGAGAAAGTATCCGTGATTTTCCTGACGGCGAAATCGGAGAAACCAATCGATAAACTGGCGGAAATGGTTTGAAACTATAATCGTTCGATTGTTGCAGTACAACAATCGAGTTCGAAAAGTACTAAAATACACGTTTTCTTAAGCAAAAAAATATATTGCTACAAAACTATAGATCAGAGTAAAAAATCAGACGTTCAACAAGATGAGCTTTGATTGCAATTATTATTACCATCTTTCGTGTTTTTCATATTTTTAATTTTAAGATTAATATCTAAATACAAATGAATAAAATGTACTAATTAATGAAATTCTTAAAATGGCGACCGTGGCCTTGATAGTTTGTGCAAAAGCTCACATTACTCCGACTATTGTGTCTTTTATGGCATGTGAACTGAACCTTGTCGCGATATTATGTCTCGTAAGTTCCGTCGAACATATCACACGCAATCCCTCTCACTTTCATTTCGATTGGATTTTAATTGAAGAATCTCAGGTAACAAACGTGACTAAGAGTAAGAGACACGCGATCAAACATGACAGCTTATCGTTGCATTAACGATGCACAATTTTATGCAATATTAATAAAAGCTTTCAAACAATATAAATTTTTTTCTTAACGCTAGAGACATCATCAAAGAATGACGATAATACAATTTAATTTATTCGCGTGATGGTAATTTACGATATAAATTTCTGTAACGTCAATCTCGATCCTGACAAAGAGTCACGCGGACAACGCGAGCCAGTGTTAGCGGAAAAGTGGCATTACGCAAGAGATAGTATTACACGGAAAATAGTGGCTTACCTTTGACCTATGTTACTTACGTAACCGGTGTTGCTCTTTCGATACTATTACGACTTTCCTTCCCGCTTGTGTACAGTTATTGTTTAACTGATAATTAGCGATCCTTAAAAAGATAACTTTTGCTCAATAGCGTGACATATGCAGCTTTCATTCCCTCCTTTTCTATAGTCCATGCTTCTGAAATTCAAAAGATATGAATTAGAAATAAGAAATATACATACGTCCGATATTTTCGCAATTATTTCCGAACCGATTAATCTCGAGACGAGAAAAATGCTGAAAACCGAATGCTTGGAACTGATTTAACGAGTGTTTGCACACGTATGTTTGTAAAGTAAATATAATTATCCAAAGACGATTTGAAAGCAAAAGGAAATTTGTTTGGTGGTCACGAAGCGGCCGAAGTTTGAATAGGAGCAGCGAGAATCGATCTTGCTCACGCGGAGAGCAGGTGCGAGGAAAGCGTGTTACTTTCTAAGTGTAAAACTCGGACAGCGGTTTCACGATCGGTTAAAGCCATTTCGGTCATAACGATGACGTGCTCGACGGGTTCGAGTGCTTTCCATAATAATTCTCGAACGTGGCATGTGGCGCACACGCATCTGGAAAGCTAGTTTCTAATTGCTTTTTAGCGCCTGACAGCGCGAGTCGTGACAAAAAGGCGGGAGCCGTAAATAAACGCAAGATTTTCAGTCGTATCATTGAGCGTTTGGAAATCAAGTTTTCAAGTCCTCGCGATTGCATCGCGACTGGCTAACTGACTGGCTGTCTCAAACTTCTTTCTGAACGTTCCCCTTTAAGATCTCACACACCCCTGAAAACACTCCAAGTTAATTTCTTACCAAAGTGGTTTAAGGATTCTCCAATTTGGAGAAGATTCTCGGACTTTCCAATTATCCGCGAAGAGCTCGCAGGCAATGACCTCCGAAGGATTAAATTGAGATTGGACTGTAATTGCACACCGGTGCCATTACAGCTGTAAAGAAACATGTCCTTGTGAAATCGCAGCCGTATATTGCCGCGCTTTCTCGCAAATCGATGTTCATTAATTTCATACGCACATTCATAAGCACGCACGTGTGCACGCGAGGGAAAGCGCCCTTGACCGTCGATACCCTCGAAATGCGGCCATTTGCATCGAAATGGAAAGCCAGAAATGAAATTGAAATCGCGCGATATGGCACTCACGTTTTAATTCGACCAACAAGTCAATTACAAGCCTCGCTTCACGTGTCTGGCAGGATGTACTGGATGTTCCTGGGGTTGCTGGGCTCCGCCATTGCGGCGCAGAGTTCTTACGATTTAGAGACCAGAGCGGTTTCGTTTCCCGGGAAGCCGAACAACTTGGGGCCGCTGTACTCGACTGGCTTGAGCCCCACGCAAGGATTCCGCGATAACAGCTACGAGGACAATGCGGTCACGCCAACACCGTCGCCGACGCCAATCTACAGGAGTTCTAATCAACCGGTCAGTTCTGAAATTTATTAGCTGTACAGAAAAAGAGAGCGAATTTTCATCAATTTAATACATGCAACTATTTCTTTGTGCAATTTGTTTATGAAAATATACTTACCACATTAACGCAGCTGTATCGCAAGCCAACGGCAGCTTCAATAGACCGCGATTATCAATCGGCTATCCGCGTCGGTCCTCCACCGCGCACTTCCGGTCGCGGCCAGCTCCAATACGGACCCAACGGGCCGACGCAGGAGGAACTTGAGGAGGAAAAGGAAGAGCCCGATCGTCTCAGTCTTCTTCTGCCCCAAAGCAGATTTGACTGCGTCAACAAGCAGACCGGTTATTACGCCGATGAAGATCTCAATTGCGAGGTCTTCCATTATTGCCAGGACAACGCAAGACACTCCTGGATCTGTCCCGAGGGCTTCACCTTCCATCAGGTCGGTGTCGTAAAATCTAGCTTAAAGCGTACATATATCTTTTCAAATCTACTTTTTTCAGTGCGTTTGATTCAATGAGTAATCAAATATGTTTTACCACACAGGTGCACTTAATCTGCATGCCTCCTAGCGGCGACATCAGCTGCAAGAAGAGCTCCCAGTACCACTTCGTCAACGAGTACCTGTACAAGCCGCTGAACCTGCAGGAGGCCGAGAGTAAGCCCAACGTCACTCTGAGATACAGCGAGAGGTACTACCCCTCCGATATCTACCAAGACGAGCGGGAGGTCGGCGATTATCAGATCACTCCCACGCCCGCTCCGGTGCGCCGTCCTGCCCCACAGGTGCGATTACTTTAATTAAAACTCTCGCCGGCGTTATGCAAAAGCTCCAAATTGCACTGCTGTCGAACTGTCGCAATCGCGATCAGAAGTTGCGATGCGACTCGAAGTAACCTGAAAATAATCAAACTTTGTAATTTAGAGTTTTGTGAGTCCGAAGTCCGTATTTACAGTTGCGTTCCGAAACCAATCTTGCGACGTTGGATGCCGAATGCAGAGTAAACTTACGGCCCTCTCTTAATCCACCGTATTGACACGTTAACGATTAGGTTTTGTACAGGTCTTTGTGAACCCGCAGTCCGCAAGTTTGAATAGCATTCCAACTTCGGCCCGTCCGCAGCCCGCAGGACTCCCGCAGTTTCGTCTCCCGGTGAATCAGGTATTCCACAGCCCCGAGGAAGTAAACATCCCTCTTCAGCACAGACGACCGCAGCCGCAACAGCACCAAGCTATTAGACGATATCCTCAGATCCAGTCCGACGAGGAGGAATATGAGTAGATCTCCTTATGTCTTTAGAATTCTATGAATTTTTCAATTTACACGAATTTTTCGCATAGTCCTCAAATCATTTTTGATACGCATCTCTCCATTTACGTTTTTAACTTCTTAATTACCTGTAAACCTGCGCATTGTTAAATTATTAGCGGCTTTATATATTATTGTATTCTTAGAAGCACTTACAGATAAAGAAAAAAACTGTCGAGAAAAATTTATATTATAAAATGGACGACTTTTATAACGTATGCATTTATTTAAAGATATCATCGATGTCCATTTGCGTATGCAAAGATAATTTCATTCGTGGCGCAATTATTGTGACGATAATTTAATTATTGTAAATAAACGATATATATATCAGTGATAATTAAATGATACGCTAAGTTTGTCTATACTTGTAACCGTGTAACTGACTTTAAGAATTGATGAGAAAAATGATGGCTAATAAATTGTTATTGCGTTATTTTCAACGACTTATTGTTCCACTCACAATTTTGAGCTTTCTTATAAAATCAGCAAATCTTTGTGCCATCGCATTAAACACTTGATAATGTATTGTTCATTTTGCTCCAATCCTTTTGCACTCGAAGCGTTGATTTGCTCGAAATCAGCACGGTTTCAGCGTCTCTGTAATTCTGCGTCTCCAATGTACACCGCTCTGCTTTTTTTGGCAGCTGTCTTGAAAATCCTTTGGCATCGTTGATTGATTCGTTGTCTTCGAATCTCCATTATTTGTCGAGTTCTCGATCAAATGTCTCTCTGACTGCTGTGTGGTATGTTTCTTGATTGTGGAGACATAATTAGACCTTTGAAGAGAAGTAGCGCTCAGATCCTCCTTAAGCTCGCTGGAACTTCTTTCTTTTTCAGAAGACTCATCCTTTTTTCCCTCCTCGTTCTGCTTGTCTTTCTCTTTCCTAGTCCTCACAGTTTTCTTTTCGTATGTGTCAGCCACAGGATCCTTGCGTTCTTCCGTTCTCGGTTCACTTTGTGAGGTCGCGGTAGAACTGTGATTTTCTTGTGACGCGAGCTTGTTGTTAGGGTAAGAGTTCACTTTTGAATTTCTGTCCATTAGATAGCTGCGTACAAAATGATTGTGACTACTGGCGCTCTGCGGGTACAGCTTTTCTTCAATTCGGCAGTTAAGCACTGCCGCCTCGGCGATCGGAATCGGCTCCGTGTACGTAAATATCTTTCTATCAGTCTTGTCCTCCAGTCGCCTAATGTTAATGGGTCCATTGATCACCGGCACCGCGTTACTCACCTCGCTAGTGGTCCTGATCACAGGCGTAATATTGCCCATGGAGTCCAGCCGCGAGTTAATCTGATCGCGAGAGTTTGCGAACATCGTAGCGACCTTGCCAGGGCTCTTTGGCTGCGTCCTCTTTGGTTTCTGCCTCTGCCGTTGCTGATTGCTCTTCGTTGAACAATTCCGATCTGCTTCGACCGCTGTCTTGCGCTGTCTCTCGCAATTGGAATCCTCGCTATGGTGGTGTCGGATGTGCCGGTTTAAATTATCTTTGCGTCTGAACAGCGTCTGACAGTATCCGCAAGAGAACGGCTTTTCATCTGAAAGAAACAAGCAAATTTCTTAGTTAAAGAATATTGATTCGTATAATAACGTTTGACGTACCTAAATGGACAGTTAAATGTCGCCTCAGCTCGCTCTTCGACAAAAAAACTCGGTTGCAATTGGCGCAAGAGAACGGTCTTTCCTTCCCGTGAATCCGTTTGTGCCGTATTAATAAAGATTTGTCCTTGAAAGACTTGCTGCATTGATCACACGTGTGCGGTCGTTCGCCTATGCCAAAGATTATTTTATTATACTAGAACAATACAGGCGCGCGCTACGCGCGCGCACTTATTATAGTAATTTAATAATTAAAAAATCTAAATATTTTAATAAATTTTTTTATTTTAAATAACCGTCAAAATAACCTTCGCTCTCAATCTATCAAACTATCAGAATAATCGCGATAATCAATCAGCGTCGCGGAAAAGCATCAACAATACTTCCGATACATTCGAGTATCGTTCTTTCATGCCGTTTTTTACGAGTGGATAACTGAGATTTCAAATAAAATTTCTGTCAAGTTATATAATTTGCGTGGAATTGAGCAAAAACCACAAGATTTTTTTAACACTTACTTGTATGCGTTCGCATATGACGTTTGAGATTACTTAATATGCGGAAAGACTTGTCGCAGGACTTGCAATTATACGTAGTTGTCGCGTTGTGTATACTTAAGTGATTCTTTAAGTCGTCTCGTTTGCTGTAACGTTTGTTGCATTCGGGACATAGAAACTGCTTCTCCTCTGAAATATTCAATTATAGTTAGATAAATATACGGTGCATGTTCTCTTATTCCAGTTTATAAATAATAAGAAAGAAACAACTTGTGATTATAATCTTTAAAATCAAACTAAGGAATTTTGACTGCTACATTAATCATCATTCATCTTATTTGATTGGTGCGTTATAATTAATCACATAATTCTAAAGTACGCTTACTGCTATGCGAAAACATATGTCTGTTGAGCTTGTTCTGTTGAGGAAACGCCTTTTCGCACAGATTGCATTTATATGGTTTGTATCCTTTATGAACTCTCTCGTGGTACTCGAAGTGAGAGCGCTTTACGAATGTCTTGTCGCAAAAAGTACACTGGTAAGGCTTGATGCCTGTCACGCAAGCGTCGTGATAGCACTTGCCTTTCTTGTTTCGAAAGATCTTACCGCACACGTTGCATTTGTACCTTTCCGGATTACCCGGCAATATCATTATGTGACTACGATCACGACATCTGACATTCTTGTTTTTCTTCACTGCCTCCTCGCTTTTTTCTTCCTGTACCTGATTATCCTGAAAAGACAAAAACATATTTTATTAGTTTAAGTAGCAATCGATACTTTCTTCCATCAGTAAGAATACTAATAAACATTATATTAAAACTTATATTTTCTTACATGCGGATTCTGCAAACTCGCTGTTTTGTCATCATTCTTATTCCTTATTTCGGAATTACTTTCATTCCTTAAGTGGGCGTGGATATTCAATACTACATCATGAGTTTCTATTTTTGGAATGTACACTTTGCCGGAATCATCATTAGTGACTGTGTCATTTGTTGTAGGCTTGTAAGCATCTGTGTTATTGTCGAAAGTTGTAACATTGTCATGATGGGGATTCAACGATCTGCACTCAGTGCCGATTGAATCAGAATGGTTTTCCTTGGACTTAGAATCTTTGTTGATGACCAGCTCTAACGGCAACACAATCTCTTCGCGGGTCGATTTGTTTGCATCGTTTGGCTCTCCATTCATGGAGCATGGCACTTAATACATAATATTAAAATTATTATATAAAACAAAAAATGACTCAAGCTAAGTACAGATTAGAAAAATCTGGCAACTTACCCAAGTAATCCTGAGTGTTGCGTTCGGCTTGACAAATTTTACAACCATGCGCTTCATACACTAAGCACATTCGACACTTGGTATGACCACAACTATCCTTTACGAGTCTTGAGAAAGACGCATTCACAAGCTGTCCACAATTTGGACACTTTTCGCTCATCATAGCGCATTTTTCAAATTCCTTAGGAAATATCATACTCTAATTTCTGCACCATTTAAGGCCTCTGTAGTCACTATTTATACGAATCTGAAAAAAAGTTAATCATATTAGATATTTCATGTATAATAAAATCATATAAATTCTGAACTAATAACTATATAACAATTTAATTAAATAATAATGTTTAGATATCTGACAAGTGAAATTCTAAACTATGATTTAGAATGACATAATGTTATATATCATTGATTAAGCAATAAAATATTGAAATTAAATCATTAAGTTACAATGCTCTATTAAAATTATCCTTGAAAAAAATTTGGTAATAATAAAAATTATACATTTAAACTTTATTTGCACTTTATCTTAATACTCACATGTTTGTATGACATATCATGGTTTCTATTTAATAACAGATGATATACTAATTAATAACAGATGATATATATTTATTTGCATATGTATGTTGCTTTATTTCATACATTTGCAAATCATACTTTATTTACATACTGCCTTCTATAACCTAAACTTAAACTTCCAAAAACACATCTTTCCATTTTTGCACAGCTTTTACAGACTTTTTGGGAATTTTAAGGCACATCACCGTTTCTCTTTATTTGCTAAGATTTAGCACAGTAATTAATTGAAATAAATATATTGACATAACAATACGTTGTTTCGCTATACTTGCGATTACGATTAGTTGCGGTCACTTCGTCGCTTCGCCGCATCATATGATGCGCAAAAACGGCGCACGCAACTCTTAACCTCATTCATATCTCGTTGTTAAAAGCAATAATGTTTACTGTGCATAGCGAAATAAACTTTTGTACGTTTTAATAACGCGTAAATTAATGTTATAGTAATCATCACTTACCTAAAACAACAGTGCTCTCTGAGGAAATAAATGCATATGTCACGTCGTGTAAAACACTAGTCCATTTTATAAATTCAGCATCCTTAACACGCTGTCAACATGTTTCACAAGTATGTATTTTCCTTCCCTGCTATTCTTCTTTTATTCTGAAACAGGAATAAATTTAGATGTTTAATTTCGAGTGCCTAATAATTGACGACACCTCGTATTGCAGATACAAAAAAATCTGTACTACCGGTTTGAGGTTATCAACACAGATCCTGCCATCAAGATGTGCAGGAACATTGTCCAAAGCAGAGGCAAGGAAGCGAAGGAGCCAAATGTTTGATGAGCAGAAACGAAAGCAGCAATCAGAACTAGGTAGAATTCAGAAGGTGGAAGTGAAATACAAGTCTGCAGAGGACGAGGTGGTGATGCAGATGAACCGAAACATTTCCACACCGTACGACTGTGCGAAGCACATTTCTGAGAATATCGCCAAAATGTCTGCCATCGCTCTAGTAGACGACCGTGTCTGGGATATGCACAGACCGTTCACAAACGACTGTGAGTTAGAGATGGTGACTATGAATAGTCCACGAGTACAGATGGTCAACTATGCCTTTTGGCGAACATGTTCGCTGATTCTGGGTGCTGTGGCAGATAGTGCATTCAAAGATAACATAAACGTGCATCTTCACAGCTTTCCCGTTCCCATGATTCATTCTGGTAGCTTTATCTATGATGTGTTTATTGATCTGCCAGATTGGCAGCCAACTGTCTCAGAACTACGTGCTATGTCTGCGCTTTTTGTCAAACTGACGAACCAAGAGTTGCCTTTGGAGAGGCTGGAAGTGCCGTGCAACATCGCCTTGGATATGTTTCAGGTACGGATGGACAATTAGGCAGTTGTAAAATGCAAGTTGAGTTCAGTTGAGTTTAAGGATGCTCTTAAGTGGAATTTACACCAGCTGTTACAGCAGCTATTTCTCTAAAATCACGATAAATTTCAAATTCAGAATAATGGTATACAAATATTAAAACATAACTTTACAAAAAATTACTTTCCTTTGCTGCTATAAAACGTTGATGTGAAACAAATTGATATACTGATTTAAATCGTTCTGTATTTTGAGATTGCTTGTGAAGAGTTTATAGCCTCATCTCTGCTTTCAGGATAATCCCTTCAAATCCGAGCAGATACCCAACATTGCCAAAGGCAATGACGATAACAGAGTGACTTTGTACCGTCTGGGAGATCATGTGGACATTAGCAAAGGTCCTATGGTGGGTAACAGTGGCCTGATGGGACGCGTTACCGTATCAGCCGTGCATAAACTCACGGACGCGTCTGTGGACGGTCTGTACCGCTTTCAGGGCATTGCCTTACCCAAAGGCATTCTGCTTAATCATTTCGCTTACGGTATCCTGGAAAATCGCGCTAAAAAACTAAACACTGCTACGTGGCAGTCTCACGTAGAAGACGAAATGATCAATGTAACGGCGTCTGTGAATTAGCAATATTCATTTCACAATTTATAAGAGTTTTAATGTAAATAAATGCATCCTGCTTTCAGTCATCTACAACATATCGTTCTTTGATTTTTGTTATATTTAAGTAAAAAAAAGGATTGGCCAAAAAAAAAACAAAATCCTTGTGATAGAAGTTGAAAACTAAGTTTTTTCGAAACGTTGAGTCTATTTCTCCTCAATTTGTTTCGATGCTAATTCAATGGATGCAGTAAGCAGTCAGGAACCTTTGCAACAGTTAATTTTATCGATGACAAAAATAAATTATTAGAAAACTATCAGAACTATTAGAATTAGAATATATATCTAGATAAAACGTATGAAATATTATTTTACCTTCGGATACACAACAGTAAAAATCGATCCAATTCCTAAAGATTGTATATTACATATAACAAGGTACACACGACTCAATGACATTGCGAACAATTTATTCAGGGACCGCGCACTTCCCAGGTAAAGAGGGCTGGCAATCTGTTAGCCTTCGACGCAGTACATTTCGTACTCAGCTTCAGGTATAATTCCTGACACGAGTCGGTACTGTAGCCTTCGAATTCGTCGCTCTTCAGATTCGTCTTCACTGCAAGTGGCGCTAATTCAGGCGAACATCTATATAAAATTTTGATTAAAAGAAAGAAACAGTTTTAGCCGAATTAGAAAAATTCTGCAACTCTTTTTGTTTAATGGTTTTTATAATTATTTTTTTGAATTACCGTAATTGTACCCCGATGATTAAATCAAATCGGGGCGACTTGTTGGTTTCCTCTTCGAGTTCTCCGCTGCTATTCTCTGCATTACTGGATCTCGTATGCTTGAATTTATTCTCGTGGGCATACTTGCTCATGTTACCGTAGTAGAAAAATTGTCCGCCGTATTCGCCGTATCCCGAGTACGTGGTGGCCGGCAGCGGTCTTCGAAGTGGTACAAAGGGCGCCTAAAAATGCCTTAGTTTGCGAAAAAAGTGTATCTTCAATTTGAGAAATTATCACTTCTTTATTTTCCCTTCAAGAAGAATTCAATCCAAACTAGGCTGCTTTTTAAAATTTATTTTCAAACAAAATAAACTGCAATTAATATAAAAACTAAATTAAAATAATTGCAGTTTTGAAAAATAAAATCTCAATCTCATTGTTTTTCTAATCGCTATACGCGAGAGGTTTGTGTATCTTGTATAGCAGTTACATTGAGCGGTACAAACCGTCACTCGAAGAATGAGTTTGCGCTCGTAGTGCAACTTGCTTAGGAATAGATGTTTGTTGAAGCTGCCGACCAGCCGGCGCAGTCTCATATACATATAACGCTGCTTGTCCCGCCAACAATTCTCGTTGCTCGCGTTCGGCACTCGTAAGCACGTGAACCACGTGCGTCTCAGAACATACTTGAGCTGCATGCTGACCTGAAAATTAAATAGAACGTATTAATTACATTAACATCTTCGTTTTCCGCGCGAAGGATATCCATTTTTGAGAACAAACAATATCGAAGCATCACTTACCACGGGGTTGCCTGTCCTCGACCAAGTTCTGAAGGATAGCACCTGCCGACCCTCTCCCAGACAGTCCAAAACATCAACAATCTTACATCCCGAAACTAATGCGGATCTATCGGTGATTTTTTTTTATTGATCACTAGATGATTATTTGCGACTTTATTGTTTGATTCGTCGATCAACATAATTAAATTACTCGAGCAGTCGTAAAGAGATACGAGGATTATTGTTCAACGCTAATGAAAAGTTGGCGAAGATAATAAAGGATCACCTGTTCATCCTGCGCTCGGTGACCTTCTCGAAATGGTCCATGAAGTTTTCGCAACTGCGTGTGAAGATCTGCAGATCGACGTAGCTGAGGAGATTCGAGAATTCTTGACAGGATCCCAGAACCGTCTGCAGCAGGCATTTGAGATTGTCGAGGACTCTGCCGCCGTAGAAGCATGAAGTGGGGAAGTCGCGTGATCTTTATATAAATGAAATGAGCAAGAATGGAAAATTTATTGAGATTTTTACTTACATAGTGTTATTGCAGTCTCCTTAAGAAGCAGTTTCGTGTTTAAAATTACAGCAGAATATTCAAAAATATTTGTTTAGAAAAATTTGAGAACCTTGAATGCGTATACCGCCAAGTGACCGCTTTTAACATTCGGTACTGAGACTGAATGAGTTCCAGCGCGTTGAAGATTCTGTTGCACTCCAACAACTCCATGTTAGTCTTTACATTGTTCGTAAGATTCTCCATGCGTTTTATCGCAATCTCCAGCTTGGTGCCAGCTACTAAAAATTCGCTGTTCAACACTGTGGCGGCAATGTCGGAGCAACGTCTGCTTGGGAAATATTAAAAGGAAAAGGGAGAATGGATTCCAGAAAAGCAGAATTTTCTTATACAACAATCCGTAAAATATTTATACGAAACCTACAAAGGAAATTGATCTACAAATTAATGAAAACAAATTATATATAAAAATGTAACAGATTTATAAATTGCAAAAAATTATTTTCATTCGATAATCAAAGTCGCGATTATTTTTCTTTATTCACACATAATAATGTCCTTTTACATTCTTTCTTAAAATAGAACTTATCAAATGTTATTCTTATTTAATTATTAACAATGATATACCTGGAGACTAGACGAATGATGCAAGCAACATCGTGCAAGGATAGCATCCTCAGAATGATGCTCAGGATTTCCAGCGGCAGAGTGTCCAACGTGCACCGCACGCCCATACGTCCTTGCGCATTCTGTCTGCATCGTGAGGACACTCTCCGCCGTTTACCGTTCATTTAGCTTCTTCTGGATTCAATTTCGTTTTCCTGTATTTCGTTCTCCTGTAACGATCGCGACCAATCGCGATCAATTGGAAAGATCATGTGCGTTCTCGCATAGCGATCACGATCGATAAGATTTCCAATTGTGGAAGGACAGAAATTCCCAAAATTTTGCGGAAGTCTTTGCGGGAACGAAAATTCCCGAATTTACATGAAACAAAGGAGCCACCTCATCTCGCGATCTGTCCATTGCGATGAGAGTTTCAGGATATTGAGGACAAAGGAAAAGCTGTAATTCAAAATGGAGAGTTTACTTAAAAAAAAAAAAAAACATAATAACTTAAAAAAAAAAAAAAAAATCCATATAAAAATTACTAAAAAATGTACCAAGATTCCTTCTTTAGACCTTTTGTGAAAGTTGCACAGAATTTTACTGTCGTGTTCATTTAATTACTTTAAATTATCTTATCCTTGATATCAATAATTTGGTAAATTATCTTTGCGTATAATCAGAATATTAGGAAAAATGTCTTTCGAGGTTTTCTCAAAAAATAATCGTAAAAGAAATTGAACCAAAATGAATGCAGATGTGGAGATAAAAGAGTGAAGCAAATACAAGATAATAGCTTCAATGGTTCAAGATTTATTTTTGTTTGACATTTCTCGTGACGTATAGAATAATAAATTGAATATAATTAGCACACTGTTCACATGATTTTGATTTGTCACTGTAAGATCAATCAAGCTTTAGTTATTCACTCTGAAGTTGTTATCTGGTCTCTTTATTTTTGAATCATTATATATATATATGTATATATAATATTCACTGCGATTGCAAATTGCTAAAGTTTCAAAAATTGAAAATTTCTAAGTGCTAAATATTCACAGTTTAAGGGATACAAAGTTACAAGTATATCAAGTTTCATCGACTTTCATCGACATCAAATTCAAATTCAAAGAATCTTAATTATCACGTAGTAAAAGTTTTGAGCTTTCTTTGAAGCCTTGTCATCTTTCAACCCAAAATTTTAAATATTCACTTTTTAAATTTAACCATCCACACCAAGCATTTAAAGTACTAAGAATTTTATCTCTTGAATATTCAAAATTTTGAGGATCTTCTGAGGATATACAATCTCTTTCAAACACCAAAAATTCCAAGAAAATACCATTGATCGAGGAAATCCAACCTTTGACGATTCAAAGTCGAAGGAGTAATAGTAAGCTTTCAAGGCGGCAAAGGCCTTTTCGATTGTTTTACGCGCCAAAGTTCACCGGCATCAGCAAAGTGAACTTGGCTTGATCGATGTTTGTCTCTTCAGCCGCACACGGTCCGATGCTATCCAACAAGCTCTGTATTGCACTCTGATTGCTCGAGTGCTTTCTTTTGACATGTTCGCGACGATGCTTTTCTTCTTTGAATGCTTTATTGCATTGCTCGCAGACATAAGGTCTGGCAGCTTCATGGGAGCGTATATGACCTTCGTAATGACTTTTTCTGACGAATTTCTTACCGCATTGACTGCAATCAAACTGGAAACGGCCTTCGTGAGCGGCCACGTGTGAGCTCAGGGTCCACTTGGTTTTGAAAGTTTTCGAGCAGTAATTGCATCTGATCTTCGAGTCGTTCTTGTCCGCCCTTTTTTTCAACAACAGCATCTCTTCCAGCAGAAATTCATCTTCGGTATCCTTGGGCGTCGAGGATTTATCTTGATTTTCTTGAAGGCTCTTGCTATGTTCCTCAGATTTCAAATCGCTGTTCTTTATCTAAAAAAAAATAATACACAAAATAAAAATATAAAAATAAAATATATGTATTCTTGTGTTTGTTTTAAAAGTTACAAACGTCTTTCTAAATATAAAAAGATATCAGAACAGTGACAAGCTCTAGCGATGTATCGCAAAAGGGTTTGTCAGAATTCAAAGGACGTCAAATAGCTTACTTACTTTGCCATGTGAGGCCACATGAGCTTTGAGTTTATCTTCATCGCTGTATCTCTTCTTACAACGAGGATAGGGACATCCACTCTTGTCCTCTACGCCGCGCAGAAGAGCACGCCGTAGAGTCGCATCACTCGCAGAGTTTTCCATGTCGACCTTTTGGTCGGGCTGATGCAGTTTTTCTTTACGCATTTCGTGCCGAGCTATATGTCGCTTCAGATCGTGTGCCCTGGAGAACGCTCGTCCATAACGCGCGCAAGTGGAAAAGGGACAGCCTTTCGTCCTGTCGTTCCTTGGATTTAAAAAAAAGAAGACATCTTAAAGTTTTTTTAATCCTACATTACAATCCTATGAAAAATCTTGCCCAAGTGTTTCACTTACTTTCGATTAGGATTGGTGGCAGCTGGTCGTTTTGTGTCTTTGCTGCAATCCTTACAATTTTTGTCCACCTTCTGGTTGGCCATTGTGGTCAACTGTGCTGATAACGGTATCACAATGGAGATTGTCTCATTGGATCCAGGCGTGACAATGGGTCCAACGTGAATTGCCGGTGGTGTTGCCAGTGATATACTACTTTCGTTGCTCCTGCTCATCTTGCGAATTGGCACGTCTTTAGAAGAGCGATTTATTAGAATGTAACCTGTAATATATTATTTATCATTATTATTCAGATTTTACATCAATAGTTGCTTTTAGGTTCCATATGCTCTGCTCCAACCACGCCCTAAGTTTGTGGAACAGATGGTCAGAGCAGTCCATAATTATGTGCCACCAGCAATTAAAAAAATACTGTCTATGCTGTATCCTGTTGATACATTTTACCTACAGTCTGACATAATATTGAATTTGATAAGTAACAAAAATGTCATATTTGCTAATAAATCTATAATTAAGATTATTTTCACTAAATAATCCTGATACAAACAGCTCAGCTTATTGTGAATTAATTTGAAGAAAAGATAAATAACAATCAGAAAAATTAATTACAAAACTATAAATAATAATGCATTGATTAATTTATTAATGGCAGATTATTTAATTTAAAATCCACCAGTAAACAATATTTATACCAGGATAAAAAGATATATCTATTTCATATATCTATCATGAATATAAATATCCAATTTAGATAATTTGTTATCCGTAAATTTTGTATTTCCATATTCGAAAATAAACGAAGTAAATGATTGTAATAATTTAATTACGAGCTCGAAATTATCAAGTGAAAAATATGAGGTCATGTGTTTACAAAGTGCCTTGTGTATTCCGTGATTTTCAGTAGTTTAAACCGTGATAGAGATATTGATAGATATAGAAGATCGTCTATTCATGCGCATCTCCCCGAAAAAAAAGAACTTGAAATGGCTAATATATACTCGAAACCGATACAATCTCCAAGGTGCTTGGATTTCGATGTTATGGAAAACAATTTTCATATTCATTGACAATGAAAATTAAAGTAGAGATGCGAAACGCATTGGACACGCAATTCAAGGTGTATTTCCAATATTTTTGGTAAATTTGGGCTTGTTAAAATTTTATTAGTTTCGATTTTCATTACCGGCAAAACCAAAGTATAGTCATAGAAACACGACTGAAGGCGTCACTGATAATTTATTAATATCAAGGCTTTCTCAATCATACATCATAATCGAAAACTTGCGTGTAGAATATGACTCAATAGAAACAATGAGAATATATTAGGGTATCGAGAAGACATTACTGAAATCTCACTGAAACTCACTGATGGCACCTGCGTCAACGATGAAGTTTATCCAGATGAGAAATAAATCACGAAACAAAACGTAAACAAGTACGTTTAAAATTGTCTCATATGACCCAATAAAGATATCGAAAAGAGGGATGATACTAAGCCGACATTAGCGAATGTATCACCGAAGCATCATGGAAGCGTCACTGACGCCGATTACTTCGATTACGAACGCTCGTCTCGATTCTACACACAATGCTATGTCATGTACAGTTTTCGGGAAACAATATGATAATCAAAGAACGTAACAAAAGCGTCACTAACACGTTCGCAGTGATTTCACACTCACAAAATCCGCGCAAACGCGAGACTACGTGGCGATGAAACACTCCTTCGTGGTGCACGCGCGACACCAGGAATGGCCATCTTAAACCCCGAGGCTCGTTTCACTTCCCTGTCGACTAGAAATACTCGTGTCGTTGTGCGCATGTCACGTCGCATTTGGGCGAAAAATTATCTTTTTACTACCTAAGACCCGGTTTTTTAATGATTTTTCTTCCAATTTACTGCATATTTTAAATTAAATTAATCTTTTTTTTCTTATATTATCTGCAATATATAACTATTTTATTTCGTGTGTAAAAAGTGTACAAGCGTAACTAGAAAGAACAGATCAATAAATTTTAAATATTTACATTTATAAATAAATATAAATTTGTACCTACAAATCTATAAAAACTAAATAAATATAATTTAATAAATCTATATATTTATACAGATAAATTTATAAATATATATCGCTCCCGTAAAAATACCGAATTAATTAAATTAAATATGTATCGATACTTCTATTTATTCAATTATTGTATGTATTAATATTGTTATATTACCTGTTGTTTTCTTCGAAATTTTGCGATTTCAGCGAGAAAAAATTAAAAAATCGCGTGTCTTCTGTTTAGCGGCCTAAAATGATGCCATCTAGATAAAATATTTCTCGTTTCTTCTCTCTTCTCTCACCAGCTGGATTTCTCGTTCACTTTCCTCGGCGCGATGAAAGTATGCTACTAATCGTGCATGAAGGTCGAACCGAATATGATAGCGGGAAAAGTCGTGGGAGGCACAGGAAAATGTAGGGAAATGTGCGCGGATTGCGTGCGCAGGCGATGATCCAAAACATACAAACGAATACAGTAGTTATTAGAATGCGTAGGTGAAGCGTAGGAGAAAATGAAATATAGTTACCAAGTTGTCACGCATCCTGGTCATTAATTAGTAATTACATTAGACGTACAGAAAAGATACGATCTTGATTAAATGTAAAGCGTTTTCATAAAGGTTTTGGGTGAAATTTCAACTATTCTGTCATTTTACTAAAACTACTTTTTCGAACTTTTTATTAAGTCTTTGTGCAATGTTTTAAATTCAAATCTTGTTTGTTTTTATCTGTAATGTATTTTTTACTACTATTACTATCTTATTTTTTATTATACAATTGTTTGCAGAATTTTTATTTATAATTCAGTGATAAAAGAAATACAATTTTGCAGATAAAAGAATAATAGATTTCTTGAAAAATGACCCATTTATCTGACAGCTATTTTTATTATCTATTAAATAAATAAAGTAGGACTAGTCATCTCGATACATCACTTCGACGCATAAAGATGAGCGTCGAGTGACATTTCTGATCCATTTTTGTCTTATCCGGTACACACGGCTGTCTTGCAACGTCATTGCGTTATCAGAGCGAAATAGAAATGCATACATAGATATACGCGTTCTGAAAATGGGAAAGAAAAACCATTTGCTATGAAAGAACGGATACCGAGGATATCTGCATTTATATAAGGCGTTGGCGTCCTGAGGAACTACTTCTACTATTGCGTAACTATGTCGAGTGAAGCGCGATAGATCTATCAAACCGTTATATTGCATATCAAATTGAAAACACTACACTTGAAAAAATAGCAATTTCAAGACAGAAGATTACCTGTTGAATTTGCAAATAAGATAGTAATAGTATCTACAGATTAATTGTACAAATCACATTCTGTGTTCTAATTTGCGTTTTATATGTGCATAAAGAAGAGACGCAAGAGAAATTAATACAACACAATAGTATATATGATTGATCAGAAAGTTTCTTCGAATTTTTCGATAATTACGAAGGAACTTTCTAATTAATCCAATATATCTCAGAGATGTTTCTTGCGCACTGTAAATAATGCGTATATTTTAATAATATCCTGAAGATATTTCATTCCAATTTCGTAACGAGTATATAATGAATATTTCAGGTATCCTGTATACCGCCTTATCATATTATGTACATCAACTTTAGACATTCTCTCAATAGTTATCGGAGATATTTGTTCCCCGACAATATTGGAATACTGGAATGCACTCGCGTAGAGAGACAATGCACGCACTAAATGCCGCGCATCTGTAATTAATAATTAAGGCTAATTAAGGCTTCCCCCTGTAACCGAATGTACTCTCACGGTATGTCGCGTGTACCCTTGGCACGTGAATCGATATCTCTAACTTTGTTATCTATACAACGCACGTTGCGCATTATTAAAGCGCGCCGTGTCCTATCCAGCGGAACAAACCGTTGTATCATAACTGTGTCGCTCTCTCAACGCGGATGAAGCCGCGAACATAATGGAATCAAGTTTTTTTTTTTTTCTTCAGAAATTTTAAGGACACTTCTGAGGAATTCGATTTGACAAATCGCACGTCTGCTCGATTATCGTTTCTCAATAATTTCGAGCAAAATAGAAATTCGTGTTTCACCGATGTAATTTGAGCGATTTAAAATAAGATTATCTCGCCTTTTCCAGCTGAATGAACAACTGTGAAAGTTTTAACTAGCAACATTTTAACTGATCAATGTTCCAGAAAGAAGTTCCTCACAAGTTTCAGAACTTATCATCCTGTTTGCTTTGATTCCGACGTTCATCCGACCGAGTCATTTACGAGAATGGTTATAATTATAGATTGTAAATAAATAAAGCAAATTTATTACGAGCAACAAGTGCGAGAAGCGCTCATACGAATATCTTCAGCTTTCTATCATGCATTTATTATCTGTAATATCCGATTCGATATGACCTATATACATATACTTGATTGTAACAATTTTGTCTTCACGGACCTTTTGAATCGATATTTGTTCGTTGATTTTTTTCTTATTCATATCGTTAAAATTCAATAAAAGTTTTCTCTTTCCTCGAATGTATATCATAAATTTGCAAACAACGCAAATGTGAAGCAGGAGGGGATTATTCTACACCGTATGTGCAACATGTAAAATAAATAAAATTAATTCCTATGCAGTATAAAATGAACATACCTACTGTACAATATACAACACAAAAGTGCAAACGCAGTACTATATACAAACACGAGGAACTCTGTATAAACTGTACAACAACAATAATTACAATATATTTACACAAGTGAGTTTTACCGCTGCTCGTTGTCGTCGTCAGCGTCGATCGTCTTGTTAATCCAGTTCAGGTAGTGCTGTATCTTGGTGTACACATCCGGGTAGCCTGGTCTGGCACAGCCGGAGCCGAAGGATGTGACGCCGACCAGCTGCCACACTCCGTCGGCGCGACGACATTGCAGAGGTCCTCCGGAGTCACCCTGAAAATAAAAAGAATCGGAATCAGTATGATGCTACTTGGAGCATATTTGATGTTAACTGACGAAGTTCGCTGCAGCATAAAATATATTTTGTCAGCAAAACATCTCTTTTTTTTTATACGCTTATGCGCGCCTTCGCACGCACGTTTAAAATTTCTTATTTTGAATCGAAGGCCAATGTGTAAACACGTGAATCTTCGTAACGCGCTTTTTGCGCTGTTAGTTGCGCGATCGATTTTACCGCGAGAAAGTGCACGAGCGGCGTGTAATTAACAGTAAATTGGCGCTTTCAGATAATAAAACGTGTCCGCGAGCGGTTCATTTTACACTCGATAACTCGCGTTTATTAACGCGTTCACACTTGTTAATGAGTTAGACAGGCTGTACCATATTTCGCAGGAAAGCATTCCGCGTTTTTCATTTTCCACACACGTAACACAATTCTTTTTGAGAAACGTTACAAATTTATTGGCAAAAGAAAAATGGCATTCACCACGCAACTTCCGGAAGAACCGTCGGTGTGGCCAGCGCAAAGATGACCGTTTTTGATAGGCACAGAAGTGCCGTAGGCTTGCAGGCATTCCTCGAGATTCAGAAGAGGAACGCTGGCTTCTAGAAGGGCGGTAGAGAGCGAAGGCGAAGGGCCGTATCTGCCCCAGCCGGAGGCTATGCATTGTCCTTCGTCAAGATTCTCTTCGGGGTCGGGAAGACAGATAGTGCGGACGACTTTGGATAAGGGCGCCGGCCTGGCGAGTTTCATTAAGGCTGCAACGACGAAATTCAGGACTCTAGGAGCTTTGAATTTTTTAGATTTCTTGAAGAAACGAGAGATTTAGCGTAAGCCGAATAATTAAGTTTAACGAAAGAGTTGATGGAATTAGTATAACAAGCTCACCTATATCGTGCACATAATTGTTAAATCTCTCGTGGAGAATCACTTTTTCGACGGGCAACCGAGCGGATCCACGTCCACCCGAGTCTAATTCCCATTCGCCCACCACTGCTGTCCACAATGCACCGATCGGCAAATTGAACAGCTCGCTGAAGCAAATATTTATTTAAGAAACATAAAATGTGAATTAAAAATATGAAATATGTAGCAGGCACCGGAATTGAAAACATTTTGAGCCAAAGAACTCGATGAAGGAGAAAAATAACATCGTCGAAGAATTGTAACAGTTTTAGGAAAATTGCACTGCGCGTTTTTCGAAACTCCGTAAAATCGAACTCACTTGTGAATGCAATGAGCGGCGGTAATCACCCATTTAGGATCGATCAGCACACCGCCGCACCAGTGACCGATAAAGCCGAGTTTCGGGTGTAGTAGCTGAAGAGACACCTGCCAAGGCCAAGCACCCCTTCTACTAGGCTTGCCGTTGAAAATACGGCCGGTGGTGGTGATGATTGTCGAGTATAAGGTGCTGTCTTTCAGCACTCTCGGCGATACAATCGATCGCGGCTGCCTTTGAGATGCTGCGGGACATCCGCACTCTGTTATTCAAAGCCCCTCGTATTAGTTTAATGCCTTTAATCGCGAATTACAATTTTGAACTTGGAAGTTGCAGTTTAGAATGAAGGTTTCTCATAATTGTAACAAAACTTTAATTTTTAAATTCAAAATTATAATTCGCGATTATAATGTGATTGTAAAATGTAATGTAATAAAACTCTACGTAGCTAAACACGATCCCAAGAGTACAATGCTCAAAATTTGGAAGATTATGCGGGAAAAGCGTGAAGGAAATCCCGGCAAGATGAATATCTTAACATCGAAGAGTTACTCACTGGAATGATTTTCTCCAACGATTCTTATCATAGCACACTGGACCTCCGCCAGAACGACCACCAGCAGAACAATCAAATTGCCGCGGAGACGACACATCGCCAGCGAAATCGAGAATCGCCCGCGCTGGATTACCGCTCCGATCACCACGATCTATGGATCCGCATAGCCCGACTAGCTTCGGCGACACCGATCGATCCTCGAGTAGGATTAGCGCGACGCGAAGAGCGGATCCTTCGGCACGAGACGATCTCGAAGAAAGTGATCGTCGGATGGTGCAAGAGGGGGGAAAAGTGAGTGACGATGTGGTCCAGCAGATGCTGAAGAACGTGAAGAATGTTTGGGATCACTATTGTGATTTATAGAACAAGATTTCAACGTAGATCTTGACAGCTGAAGATTTCTCAATCTTGAAAACGTTTTGATTGAGTAAAACGAATTGATGGCTTTCGCTTTTAGAAATCCATGATGATCCTTGACACTGGCGTTGGCTCGTGCTGATTGGAAATTTATTTCCGCCAAACTTTGAAATCGCATGTTCCCGCAAACATCGATTTTTTTAAAATAAACTTCCAGACTTTGTATTCCTAAATTTGCCTGGAGACTTTAATTATTTAAACCTGCGATCGGATCGTGTTGGATTCATGGAGATATAAACTTCGGAGACAACGAATTGATTTCTACAGACTGATTCTAAAAGAAAAATCGACATCTGTTTGTTGCATACGAAGGCATACAAAGCGAAAATTTCCCTCTCGTAGAAGCTCGAATGGAAATCGACTGAAAGAAATCCTTGCAACATCAAGAGTCGCGGCAAAAAATCGCCGAAGCGAATCGAGTAAAAAAGGAGAAGGTGAGAAACTTTCTCTTGCTTTGCCAGTAGACAAAGTTTTCGCAGGATTATTCGAATTCGGAGAACTTTCTTCCTTGGCAAGGATATCCGCCGTCGTGTATGTAGAATCATATATACGAGAAATCGGGCACGTCGTAACTAGCGATCAGATTAATTGCGGGAAGAAACTAAAGCAACGGAGGTACAATTCAAGTCTCTCTCTGCCTCTCTATCTTTTTCTCTTTCTCTCTCTTTCTCTGCCCGAAGCTCGTATGAACGCTCGAACGAGGCGACGACTTTCGAGAGCGAATCATTCTACTCGCGCAAGTTGAGAGAAATGCGGTCGATATAATGATATAATCGCTAAGACGATAATCCTCTGTTCTGATTCGCGCTGTTATTAGATTGCAGGACATCGCGTTGAAGAATTCATAAACATGTAATTGGAGATTCGTAATGATATCCTAATAATAGTGTAAGAATATCTGATTGCAATTTCCAATAAATATCTAATAAGAAGACAGTTTATCACGGCTCTTATAATATGTCACAATAAAATAATGTGAATGAAAATAATCGAATAAAACACTTATTGCATTTTCATCTCGGAGGATATTAGCATATATCCTTATCGCAAAGATGGTCTATTTAATTCCAGATATATAATTAACAAATAATTAATCATCTCGAGTTAATATACATATATCGATTAATTGTAGACATTTCAGAAACCTTTCAAGATATATTTGCAGAATTTCTTTGAGATTTTAATATCCAGAATCTTTGGAGAATTTATCAAGGCATTATCTTGTGTTAAAAATAAAAGAATGCATTACGCGAATGTATCTGACTTCCTGAAAATAAAAATAGAACGAGAAAGTAAAATTCTGCATTTGAAATCTGAGAGAAAAAAAGGAAAAGGTGTATCTTTTGTTTTTCTTGAAGTGCTAACAATAAGTGAGATTTGAGTCTAAGCGGGTTCAAGTATCTGTTGAGTAGGTGAGATATTCGCTGTAGGTAAGTAAGATATTCGTTGAAAAAGGTTTGGGTCTTTGTTAAACGAGGTTCGAATCATTGCTAAATGAGGGTTTAAATCTCTGCTAAATAAATACGGTGATTGCATGCGCTGCGCCATGCGCCTAGACTAGACACCAATCAGTAAACTCACATGCTCGCACATGTTCGGTCGAATATTATTCAAGTCCACTCTCTCGGAAAACCGCTGGAATACAGCCAAAGATGATAGTATTCACAAGTTCTAGGTTAGTGCGATATCGCAAGTTAGTGCTTTTGGCTTGCAAAAATACATGTAAAAATGAAAATATTTGTTATATTAAGTTTGTTAGACGAATGTCAGCAGCAAGTCAAACGCACCTAGGTACAGAAATCGTCACGTTATCAGATGGGTATGAATAATTTTTGTATATTCTAATTTATATTATTAAGAAGTAGGATATGTTTTATGCCTTCAATTTATTAACATAGTTTTATTAATCTAGGAAGCAGCTCAGTTTGTCTACAGGCAAATATGCACGTTTTGCTGATGGTAGTGCAATTGTGTCTCTGGGAGATACTTCTGTTATGGTCACAGCAGTTTGCAAAGACCAGCTATCATCCAACTCTTCATTCCTTCCACTCATCGTGGACTATAGACAAAAAGCAGCTGCAGCTGCTCGCATACCAACTAATTTCTTACGGAGAGAACTTGGACCGACTGAACATGAAATTCTTACAAGCAGAGTCATTGATCGGTCTATAAGGCCACTATTCCCAGAAAATTTCTACTTTGATACTCATATAATGTGTAACATGCTAGCAATTGATAGTGCCAACGATCCTGATGTGATTGCCATTAATGCTGCATCTGCAGCTCTTAGCGTTTCTAATATCCCATGGAATGGCCCTGTGGGTGCAGTTAGAATTGGAATGATTGATAATGACATTATAATCTATCCTACAAGACGACAACTTCAAAATAGTATATTAAATTTAATTATCACTGCAACTAAAAATAACTTAATAGTTATGATGGAAGGTTCAGCCAATGAGATATTGGATCAGGACTTGCGGAAGGCAATAAAGCTTGGTGTAAAAGAATGCCAAAGCATTGTAGCTTCAATAACAAATTTGCAAAAGACGTGTGGCAAAACGAAAAGAAAAATTGAAACTGACAGACAGCAGGATGTTAGTCTGATCAACTCTGTGAAAGAACTCTCAGAGGCAAAATTACAAGATATATTTTCAGATTATACGCATGATAAGATATCAAGAGATAATGCAGTTAAGGATCTTAGAAATAATGTTATTAAAACATTGCAAGATGATAATGCAGATTTAGATGTTAGATCAGCAGAAAATATTTTTGGAAAAATTATAAAAGATGTTTTCAGGACACTAATTTTAGAAAAGGACGTCAGGTATTTGCTTGTGAGAATATTGTAGTCTATTACTGATCTTTAAACAATTATCCAAATATTTAAACTTAATAATTTGCAGATGCGATGGTCGTTTATTGAATGGCTTACGTGACATATCGTGTCAAGTAAATCTTTTTAATCCTCTGCATGGCTCGGCTGTGTTTCAAAGGGGACAAACTCAGGTAATGTGTACTGTGACTTTGGATTCTTTAGAAAGTGCACTCAAGATGGACCCTATTTCAATGCTAATTAGGTACCTATATTTATATTTAAGAAGCTGTTGATCCATAAGATATAAAAAATTACAAAAAAGAAAGCTTTGCAGAGAAAATTAATATATGACAAATGTTTATTTTAGCGGTGTGAAGGAAAAGAATTTTTTTCTTCATTATGAATTTCCACCTTATGCAACTAACGAAATAGGATCCACAGGTCGATTGGGTCGACGAGAGATAGGACATGGTGCCTTAGCAGAAAAAGCTCTACGACCAGTTCTTCCAAAGGATTATCCTTTTACCATAAGACTAACTAGTCAAGTTTTAGAATCAAATGGTGAGATAGCTGATTATTGATTGTAATAATAATACATTGGAAATTTTAAAGATTAAATTAATGGTTTGTATTATAAAAATAGGTTCGTCTTCAATGGCTACTGTTTGTGGTGGGAGCTTAGCATTGCTTGATGCAGGCATTCCAGTATCTTCGCCAGTAGCAGGTGTTGCTATGGGTCTTGTGACTAAATATAATACAACGAACACGAATATTGAGGAGTATAAAATATTGACTGACATATTGGTAAGTCAAGTTGGATTGATTTAGTTTAGCTACTTCGGTTTAGATTCAAATTAACATTTAGCTAGATAATTTTGATGACAATAAACTTTCTTTCTGCCTGCAGGGAATTGAAGATTATCTTGGGGACATGGATTTTAAAATAGCGGCTACCAAGCGGGGATTTACCGCTTTGCAGGCTGATGTAAAAATACCAGGAGTTCCGATAAAAATCATAATGGAGTGTATACATCAATCATTTAGTGCTAAATCGGAAATCTTTAAAATCATGAATCAAACTATACAAACTATACCAAAAATGAAGAAGGATAAGATGCCAGTAGTTGATAATTTAGAAATTTCTGTTTATCAAAGAGGAAAATTTCTTGGAGTCGGTGGGATGAATCTGAAGAAAATATTTCTAGAAACTGGAGTGCATGTAAGATCACTTTTTAATATAATTAGAAAAAAACTTTCATATGCAATGACTTAAAATTATTAAATTGTTTTATCACAGTCATTATAATTCGGAATATGCTAATTCTTTATTTTAATATTGCTCTTCAGATATATCCGCACGATGAGAACACCTATTCTATATTTGCGCCAAACAAAGATGCCATGACTCAGGCTAAGGAAATGATAGAAAAAATCTTGCAAAAAGATCGCGAACCGACCTTAGAATTCGGTGCAATTTATACCGCGAAAATAATGGAAATTCGGGAAACTGGAGTCATGGTAACATTATATTCTAACATGATGCCAGTATTATTGCCCAACTCACAATTGGATCAACGCAAGATTCATCATCCCAGTGCTCTGGGACTTGAAATTGGTCAAGAGATACAGGTCAAATACTTTGGACGAGATCCAGTGTCCGGACAAATTAGAATATCGCGAAAGGTGCTACAAGAACCGATCACGATTTCGAGAACTCTTCATCGCGATAATACGGAAACAACGTGAAAATCGTATATATATATATATAGCGAAAGCTATATTATATAAACCGTCAAGTTTTGAATCGACATATAACATACACATGTCAATCATTCATGCTGTGAAAAAATAATATACATTTTCTGTAAATTTTCCCGTCGATATTCTGCAAAAAGCGGATATCATTTTTATATATTTGTTGATTCCAATTGTATATATCTATTGGATGTTACATTTTTGTACAATATATCATTATTGGAAATAGAAACAAAAATATCGAAAATGGAAACATTTAATATTTTATTTGGCGTTTTATTTACTCTAGCCTCGTGCATTGCCGTCGATGCATAATTACTTATAGCAGTTTCATAGAATATACAAGTGTAAATTATAAAACATCAAGTTCCTTTATCAGTTATAATGTAGCAAATACTTTACAAATTTTATTCTCGACATAATGTAATTGTCTTTAAAAACTGCTAAGATGATAATTGGCCAATTCACGTGAATATGCCGCATCTTTGAAGATATAACAAATAAATGAATAACTTTTGACGGATGCTTCCAGTACATCATACTTCATATATTTTCTCGAGTATGCATTTTTAGTCATATGAGAACTGATATGGCAGGACGTTTATTTTATCGCTGTGTGTGCAAACGAAGTTCTACGTTTACACTTAGTATCATGGTCAGTGCGATGTTCTTTGAGACAGCTTACGACCAAGCTTGCGAATATATATTCGAAACTGTCAATCATGGAGTATGTTATTAAATTTATTACAATAAATATTACGCGTTACAAATACATATCGTAAAAATATCTTTAAATGGATTCTGTAGTTTTTCATATATATTTTTCTATACTTTTAGATATTATATATTATATATAGATGTAAGAAGTTATATTAAAATTAGTAAAATAAATTTATTTAATATTTTTTATAGAGGCTGTGGAAACATATAAAGCATCGCTATGAGACATTAACTACGGAAACTCGATATACACATAGCGAGGAATTAAAATCTTCCACTGATAATCAAAAAGATCATTAATATTGTTTATTACAATGCATAGACATGCGTAGCCAAGATAATAATGTTAATCTAATATTTTGCATAATAAATTATCATTTATTTTGTCTGAAAATTGCCTGTAGCTCCTAATTATATAATTATATAAAATAAGAAATAAAAGTAATACGCATAAAGTGACACTGGAAAGTGTCTAAAGTAAATTGCTGTTTGCAATAAATAAATAGAACGAAATGAATTAAACGTCGTTTTGTAGAGGAAATCCATTAATTTTATTACATATAATATGAAAGAGATGTATGATAATTAAGTAATTAAAATAAACATTATAAAATGTTACAAATTCTGGGTGCATCAATGATAAATATTTTCAGAGCAGATTGTCTATCAGAAAACACTGATAAGCTGAAAGAGTTTTCAAAATTGAGCTTTTTTTGTCGATTCTGATAGACAACACTTCGAAAATATTTTGCTATTTATCATTGCGCCCAGATAGATCTATAGCACTTTTTATGGTGTTTAATTTAATTATTTGATTATTATATCCTTTTTCCATGCTACATGAAATAAAATTGATAAATTTCCTGTACAAAACAACGTTTAATTTATTTTGTCTGTTCGTTGCAAAGTAATAATAATTTATTTTAGACACCTTTTCAATTCACCCTCTATATTTATTAAAAATTCGTTCAAATTTTAAAACGTTTTTTGAAAACATCAAGAAATATCTCTTTAGGAAGTTTTCTAATATAAAATATTTATTTAGTTTAATTAAGAAGTGGATTTCTATTTATTCTATAAATGCTTACTACGTACAAATATATCGTCTGTTAGCGATAACTTTTAATCTTTAATCCCGAAAAAATTTGGGTATATATAAACGATATTAACATAACACAAACAAAAAATGCTTACTACATACAAATATATCGCCTGCTAGCGATAACTTTTAATCTTTAATCCCGACAAAATTTGGTTATATATAAATAACTATAACATAAACAAAATCTAAACTTAGGCGACGTGACTATAAATGCAGGCTGTTGCTCAGGAAGTGCATCTTTTGCAAGAGAAGTGCGCAGTGAGTTAATAGTAACATAATTTAGAAGTCATTATTTCCGAAAAGAATAAGCAAGTGAAAAAAATGGTAAGTTTTACTTTTATATTATTTTTGGAAAGTTATTCGAATTTCATGTATGTTACGCAAATGTCAAAAATAAGAATAAAAATTGATCTTAAGAATATAGATCCAGAACTACGAAATTATAAATGTTTTGTGTTCATTTATCTATAATAAAATTTGACATCATGGTTTGGAAATTTCTTAATTTTTAATTTAATATGTGATTGTTTATGAAAAAATGTATATAACATAAAAAAATAAAAACATGTAAAAAAGATCAAATAATCATATTTTTGTTAAAAAATCGATTACAAAATAATGAAGCTTACACGTCTAATTTTCAATGCCTTATACTATTCCATGCATTAATTTTATATAAATTATATAATATCAATATAAATTATAATTTCAGTATAATTTTAATATCATATCATTTCTTATTGTGCTTACAGATTAAATATATAATACTACTTGCATTACTGCTGCTACCGTGTGCAGATTTAAAAGAATCTATTAAATTTATTTCAACAAACGGAAATGTTGAAAACGAAAAATATGAAATAAAAATCATAAAAAAAGAAGATACAAAATGCGAAAATTTGGAAACGCTGAATTTAGAAGAAATGAATTTAAGGTTTATAAAAGAAAATATCATCCAGTGCAACGGGATAAGACACATAAATTTGCAAAAAAATCTGTTAGAAGAAATACCGAACCTGACGTTAAGGAATGTACCATACTTACATTGTTTAAATATGTCAAACAATTATATTAATCTTTATAATATATTATATTTACAACATCAATATCTAAACGTATTAGACATAAGTTATCAAAATACGCCCAATGAATATGAAAATATGGTTGTTATAGACGATATAGATGAAGAATATACAAGAGAAACAGAAGATATGTACCAATCCCTGGTATTCAACAGTACTGGTATATCTTTACCAAATTTAAAATATTTAGATGTAAGCGGAAACCATATATCAGCCATAGCTCACGATTTTAAAATTTCATTTCCCCAACTGATTCATCTATTCTTAATCAATATTAATGCGTTTACAATAGACGAACAATTTTTTCACAAAATCCCGAACTCACTACGTTTCCTACATTTGGAAAATAATAAATTAATAAATTTGAAACTAAAAGATATTGCAAATATAACATCATTATTTCTCGATGGAAATCCAATAGAAAACATTGATATAACTTCTATGAAATTACAAATATTGTCTTTATCTAATTGTACGAAACTTAATACAGGTACTTTTAACACCCCATCTTTAGAATATTTAGATTTATCAAAAAATAATTTATATAGTATATCCAATATTCGTTTTGAAAATGAATTATTGCAAACGCTTTTATTAGATTATAATAAACTAGTAGAAGTTCCTGTATTAACTACTATTACACAACTTTCGAAATTATCATTAAGTTATAATATGATTAAAGATATATCAGCAAATAGATTCACAAATCTCATACACTTGCAAAAATTGTCATTAAAAGGCAATGGAATAGAAAACATAGAAAATAATGCCTTTTTAGGTTTAAAAAAATTAGAATATTTAGATTTGTCAGAAAATAGCTTGAAGAAATTGCCTTCTAATTGGTACTTATCGCTTGTAAATCTTCAACATTTAAATGTAAATTCAAATAATTTTTCAACCATTTTTGATTTACCAATTCGTTACATTTCTTCATTGCAACATTTATCTATAAAAAATAATTTCTTTAACAAAATATCAACAAGAGAGTTAGACGCTCTCCCGAATATGACGACAATCTATTTAGCTTAAAATATTTTAGTTTCATAATAGTTAATCATATTTTCATGTATTTTGTATATATAAAGCTTCTTAATCTTTATATTACTATCACACATACTAAAAATAATTTATTTATAAACTACAAATGCTGTAATACTTTGTTACAACTACGTTAATTTTTCTTATTGTAACTTATACCAATAATGTATTATGATTTTATCACTTTTGTTATTAAATAAAACTTTTAGTTTCGTATTTCACTGGTTTATTCATTTGGAGTTATATAATTTTACCAACAGTCTATATTGTATATATAATCAAAAAATTCGAGAATCTCAGCATGAATCTGTTAGTTGATACTGATCGCGCAGTAACTTTTCTAATTGCTGAATACGCTGCTACATTCTTATAAAAAAAAAATTATTGCAAAGGTAGAATTTCGAGTCAAATAATGTATGTAAAACTTTATAGAATAATTTTATTTGTTACGAATAAATATATATGTATAAAGAAACTTTTAGTTCAGGAAAATTTTGAAGTTATTTTCAGAATCCATATATACAAAAGACAAAATAAAAATCAATTAATGTTGTAACTTTTACAATATGTGTGTTTAATAGTGCAATGATTCAAGGCTTTTTTGCGTTATCTTGTATTGCTGCGTAAGATTTGCAATAATGAAAATTATATTAGGTTAGTGATTATGATATATCAAGGGTCTGCATTTCTCGGAATGCTTCTTGCAGTTCAGAGTATTTATATCATTAATTCTTAGCAACAGATATGGTGATAATTTTGATAACTGTGTAAGACTAGCTGTAAGAATGCATAAAGTTTATGAGAAGTCATCCCCGTGGCATACAATATGTTTCAATTTTAAAAAAGTATAATAATAATTCTGACTATTTTACAATGTGTGATTATTATTTAAGTTATACGAGCAAATAAAATAAATTTATTAAAAACAAAAATAAAAATTTTATAATATAATTTTTTCTTATAGATCACAAATAAAATATTGCGCCAGAGCAAAATAATATTTTAATTTTGGCAGTAAACATTTTAGAAATCAAGTTAAATTTATCAGAGAGTACGTAAATGTCAGTTGCATTATATAAATTAACAGGGCCGTTTGTAAAATTTGCGCCCAGGGGCTTGTGATCTTCGAGCGCCTCAATCTAGCCTCCCTCCTCCAATGAGTAAACAGTAAATAATTAACATTTTAAATATTTATTAAATTCTATTGAAACACATTTAAGAAGAAGGAGATAATTAAAAATAAAAAATTTTTTTATGAATATGTAGAAGCTGCGGCGTCCAGGAGCTCAAGCCCCAAAAACCATAGGTAAACGCGCTATTGTAAATTAATATAGTAAATTTGAAGAAATAAAATTCTACAATAAATTCATTTAATAAATATAATATTTGTCGTATTTAATTAGTGCAATATACATAACTTTTATTTGGTACACGCTATATAATATTTAGCCGGCACTGTTGCGCGAGAGAGGTGATTCCCCTAAGGATCACTGTCAGTATATAAGGAGGCGACATAGGCGAGTTCGCGACAAAAGGTGTCAGACTACCCGAGTGAGTTTACAGTGTAAAAAGTGTTTAACGAGCGGAAGAAAAAAATCGTATATATGGTAAGCGTGCTATGAATAATTTTAATACATTATTATTTCACACGAAACATAAAATTGCATTATATTAAAATTAAATTAATTAAAATGAATTAAAAAATACTTTTTCAGACAATGTTACGTTATAAATTAACGATTTTCTTCATCTTTATCATCCTGCACTTGGTAAAGACTCAAGACCGGGGCAGAACTTTTCGTCCTGATTTCAACCTGATTTTCGCTAAATCCAACATTGTCAATGGTAATACACTAACGAATATCACCTTAGCGTCGACTCCGGCAACCACCCCACGGGAACTGCCTTCTACAACCCCCTTCGATTGGTATGACATGGAATTTAGATTGTCAAATGTTGGCCTTCGAAAAATTGGCGAGGAGTTTATCAACAGCAATAATTTTATTATCAAGCTCAAGCTCGATAATAACGAGATAAGTTCCATTTCGCCGTATGCTTTTCACAAAATGTCGAATCTACGATATTTGGATCTGTCCGGCAACAAAATTCCAAAAGAGAGGTTGCTGTCCTTCGTTGGAAGTACCAAATTGCAGACTTTGCTCATCAACAATAATAATGATAGTAGAACTGTAGACGTATTGATCGATTATATAGCTTTGGATAACTTGCAGAACTTGTATCTATGCAACAGTCAATTAAAGAACCTTCAGGTGCCTTACTATCGAGCAACGCCCAACTTGAATCATTTGCATCTAAGTAATAATAGCATCAGCTCCAGTCCTGTCGTCTTCGACAATATTCCACCAATGTTAACTCATCTTCATGTGGACAACAACTTAATCGATCGAGTCGAGCCAGAAAAACTCAGGTATCTATTTTTTATTAGCTAAATTGCTCTTTTTCATTTAGTTGATTCTATCTATTTCTTTATAAAACACTAAATTTTGGACAGATTGCTATTGATATTATTTTTATTTCTCTTATTGTCGTTGTTAGAGAAAAGATACCAAACCGACATACCATATATTTTCAACTTTCAAGTAAATAATTTTTTTAACACGAAAATTGATCTCTAAGAAATTAGATACTAAAACTGACATATTTATTAAAAACTATAAAATATAATAGAAGTGATGTGGAAATATGCTGCAACAAATTGTTAAATAATATAAAATTTTATTCAAAGATTAAAATAAACTACGAAGTTTATAAATAAAATAAAATTACATATTTTCTCCTATTTAAACATGAAATTTTCAAGATTATTTTATATTTATTAAAAACTAAATATTTTTTATATTTATCAAATATTCTTTTCTCTTATCTATTTATAAAAACATAAATTTTGGATAATGTCAAGACATTATTTCAAAATTATATTAACCACAGATCACAGGATATGTGCCAGTTTGCAGCATACTTTGATTAAATTTTCCAAATCGCACTATGACGGAAGCAATATTTGCCAATAAAAATAAAAATAAAACATTTCTAAAAAGTTATATGTAAAATAATTTGACGTTACAAAAAAATATACTTATCAAAAATATTTAATAAATTATAAAACTAATTAAATGAATTGCATTATTACTATCGCTTTTATTATTTATTGTAGTTGTTTATTATTAATTATTGTTAGTATTACAGCTATTTTGTTTTTTTTACATTGTTACCATTAATACTGTTATTACTGCTATCGATAAAGATATATTAATAACCGTTTTTTTTTTTTCAGATATGTGCAGAAGCTTATTATGGACAACAACATTATTACCCAAGTGTGTTACGAAAATTGTCGAGATGCATCTATATCCTTGAAAGGCGCTTTTAGTATGCAGAATTTGTCCTTATCCAGGAATAAGATTTCAGAAGTGACATCGGATGCCTTTGGAGACTTGAATAATCTACGATACTTGGATCTATCTGGCAATGAGATCGTTAATATGCACGAAAGCACATTTAATCATACTACAAGGATGATTAATCTCTCTCTAGCTCATAACAAACTCACCGCCATGCCGAATATTTGTCCGATGCGTTACCTAAAGAGCCTGGATCTAACTGAGAACCGTATCATGATTTTTTTTGTTTTCTGTCGTTCGGAAAATCTGGAATACTTGTACTTATCAAATAACCACATAACTACAATTGAGAATTCGGCTTTTGTCAATCTCGAGTATCTAAAATATGTGGATCTTTCCGGAAATCAACTCAAACAACTACCGCAGAAATGGGTATTGCCGTGGAACATTCAGGAATTGCATCTTGAGCGAAACAACTTCACCAAGATCGATGATGTATCGTTGATTGGTATCGATTCACTGAAACATGTGTATCTCGATGAAAATCCTATGGACACATTTAAAGTAGAATCTTTCAAATTACTTCCAGTTCATTTGACGGTGCATATAGGAAAGGTGCGTATTCTGGACAAAAAGGATGATGATAATAATAGTAATAATGATAATGATGATGATGATGATGATTATGATGGTGATTTATTCTAAATAGTTTCATAATAAACATTTTTTATATATTTTAAAGTAAAACGTAACCTTTAGTGAGAGCTTTTTTAAAAATTTTTAATTATTTTATTAATTTTCGTCAATAGATTATTATTAAATGTGATTATTTTTAGAGTATCATAAAAGCATTTCTTATCAATTATATTTAACATGTAATAAAATAATTGCACTATCTTTAATTTTATTCAAGTATTTCATATGTAATATTTTGCAAATAACAAATAAATGATCCTGTGTACTCTGTCGGAATCCGATGCCTTTTCTGAACATCGTCTTCCTTTGTCCTTGCAGTCTTTCACACGCGTTCGCGATGCGAATACAAAAATCGATATTTCAAACGGCATTACCGATGCGCATTTTGTCGAACAAAAATAAATCTCGAATGCCATCGCACGACACTTCATCGTTCGATATTTTATCGCAATCACAATAACCAACGATAGAAAGGATGAGATAAAAATTGCGGGGAGTAGTAAGGGTAGTAGAAACTATTGGAGAGGATTACGCGCCGATACAGAACGATTCACCGTGATATTGAATGTTGTCGCGAATGATAACAGAATAATAACACGGACAAAGTCGTGTCGATTCTGATTTCAAAGCAGAAGAGAAGTATGCAGAGAACAACAATATTTCTGCCGATATAAACCTAACGCAAGAGAAAAAGAAAGACAGAGGCTACAGCGCGAACGAGACAACCTCATCAAATCCTAAACGTCATTCTCGAAACTCTTAACATAGAATGAAAAAAATTGTATATACTATCAAATATTCTTTACGTTCAAAATTTTGTGTTTTCAAGTTTTTAGAGCGTTTTACTATACATATCGTATTATAAAACAAGTAAATAAATTAAAATTAAAGATAAATACATGACAGATTAAAATGTCTGAAATTATATCATTTTGCATATGTTTGCGTCAATTATTCATGTAATAAATCTCAATAGAATAAATTTCCGCGAAATGTGCGGCTTCTAATTGAGTAAAATTGATTTTTATCTTAACGCCATAACGAATCTACAGGTAATCTATGGATAAAGTAATTTCACCAAACGAGTCGGCCTTGTCAAGTCGTAATATTTACATATTACAATGTATTCTTTGCGTTCGTGATATTTTGATTTCTATTGATAAATATGCATTTATTAATAAATTAATATAAATTTTTGCAAAATATTATGTATATTTACTTAAAACCATTGTTATAAAATCAATAATTCATACATAGCGATTTAATGGTATATTTTCATTAACATTTCTAAAATTTTCAAACCCAACTTTCAGTGTGCATTCCAAGTTTTCTGGCTTTAATTATTATAACATGAACATAATAACAAACTGACGTGGTATGTACAGCACGAAAGAAACGCGTGCAGTATTTCGTATCAAATTTCTAAGCTGGCATTGCTACGATTTCCGAAGGCTGTAAAATTTTCTGTTTCACTCTACCTTCATCTTCTCCATCTTGCAAAGAATCATTCAACAGATTTAAACATTGTTAGAAAATTCTTTCTATTTTCACTAAACGAGCCTATACTATTTGATTCTTTAAATAATTTTCTGTTTTATAATTAACTGTTAATTATAATTAATGATTAATTCAAATAATGAGTACTTGATTAATGATTACCTTATTAGTCAATCATTGAATTAACGACAACTATATTGTTCATACATATATCGAGTCAGCTATAACACGAGGTGTTGAGGCGGGCGAGCCTTTGCTCCTTTCAGGGTGTCGGTTATGCACGGAGAGGCACGCACGCGCAACGTGCAGATCAGGGTGGCGGTATGAGAAGGGGTGCGGCGTGACGAGGACGGGAAGAGGGTGTAAATTCTAGTATGACGAGGATCGCGTCTAGATCAATGACGTACGAAGAAACTTTGTAAGAGAGGAATTTATTTCGAGGATGCGCTAAAATTTTCATTTCAATTCCTTCATTTTTGTCGTGTATATTCTCTTAGTGTTTTGTACGTTAAATCTTGTTTGATTCTAAATAGAGAAAAATTTAAATTATTGTAAAAAAATGTAATAATTATGTTAATAATAGCTTGTGTTGCAGGTGTAGGGTTTTGAATACGTTTTATCATTCCTGCGTACGCGCCCCTAGTTTGGAGTCATGGATGGGGATGAAAAAGGGTGGGGTGAAGGAGAGTACAAGCTGTAACGAGGATGGAGAACGTGGGGTGAAAGGGCAAAGGCGTGGATAGTTTGGGAGAGAAGAGATCTGAAAGCGACAAAGATAGTAAATTGGGAGGTAGCGTGAGTAGATTCACGAAGAACAGTGGTAATCAACTATCTGTGAGAGTTATAATACGAGAGGCAGTATCGGAAGAACCATTCAAGGGTTTGTACTCCGAAAGCAAAAATATGTAAGCGTAAAAAGTTATTTTTTCGAAAGAAAGCTGCAGAGAATTACGGATGCATGCACACTTCTGAGATAAATAATACAAGTGAATTTAAGTTTAACAATCTAGTCATCTAGATTGAAAAACCTGTATGTACAAAATATGTTATTGATGCTTATTTAAATAATCTCTACTGAGAAAGTTGAAACTTTTTAGAGCGAGCTTAAGGCGTGTGTGAAACTTACAAGAGCCGCGCTATGGTCACCCCTGATATAAAGCGAGAAAGAGGGAGCATTCGCTGCGAGGGGAAACAAAGAGAAGGGTGCAACGCGAGGGTTCGAACGGAAGTAAAACGGGGTGCAGAAAAAGCGATGAAGAGAAAGGAAGAAAGCGGGGAATGCTCGGAGGGGAAATAGATACTCTAGGCATTCTGCGCACAAACAAATACAGAATGCTACTGTGCTGTAAAGCGTGACGAGGAGAGCGTCAAACTACAGAGAAACGCCCGCAAACACGCGGAAGATGGTGGTGTCTCTTCGCGAACGATGAAGACAGAGATATTGCCGGCAAGCTTGGTACCGTCGGTGCAGTAAACCGTCAACAAGGACGGACGCACCACTGGCATAGATGAAGTAGATGAAGACGGAAATACTACGGCGTGGGCGGCGGTACTATCGTTGTGCAGTACAGTAGACAAGGACGAAGGTATCGTCGTTGCGACGAGCTGAATAAAGACGGGAGGATCGTCGACACTAAAGTTAACAAGAACAGAGATATCGTCGATGCAATGAAGTAGACAAGGACGGGAGCACCGTGGAGACGAGGTCGGCGGTACTGTCGGTATGATCACGAAGACGAGGACGGAAGCATCGTCGGCGTGTCGTGGCCGACGAGGATGAGGCTAGAGAGTGAGACGAGAGAGAAGGCTAAAGGGCGAGGAGAGAGGCAGGAAAACGGGGTGGCCGCGTCTGGCTAGCTCGAGACACCACTCCCCACTCGGTCTGGCCGCTCTCTCCTCTAGCTTCCTCTCTTTCTCTCTCTCCTCTTTCAGTGTTCGTTCGAACGCGGCCCGGTACGGTTCTATCTACCCCGTGGTGTCGAAGGGTCCGCTTCGTGATGGGAGCTCACTGCCGCGGTGGTATCGGCGGGTTCCCTCGGTAGCCGGTTCCCAACGCCGATGCACTTTCCTCAGGGCGGCCCGGTTCTAGTTTATCTCTCCGGTGAGGGCAAGTGTGTGTGTGAGGAAGAAGATTAACGGAGCAGGAGTGCGTGAGTGCAAGGAAAGATAGAACAGTGAGAAAGAAGGAGAGAGGGAGAGAGAGAGAGAGAAAAAAAAGAGACAAAAAACCTGCCTGATAAGCAAACAATATTCAAGAATTGGTAAACAAAGCTAATTAATAAAAAGATTGGAGAAATTAGCTTCAACTAATCAAAGACACTGCAATTCGACGCTGTAATTATTATTGTTCGTGAGAAAGCTCCGAAGCATCATCCCCTTCTTGTCAGTAACAACGAGCATATCTATATCACGCGCGCGATCGCGATTCGTCGGAATTTTATGCATTCTGCACTAAATTTTGCTCCGCTGGTGTCAGTGTCAATGTGACAGAAAGCAAAAATCGTAAAGGAAGAGCGGTAAAAAAAGAAAAAATTAACAACGAGTCTTCAAGTTTAAATTATTTCTCTCGAGATTCAAAAGCAGAAATTTGCTTCGCTTCTCTGCTACTTTTTTTCAGAGACGTTTTCTGCAAGATAACACCGTAAGAAAATCGCTCGTCATTCTGAATGAGAAACGAAAAAACCTAACGGAACTTTTTTCGCAAAATAAAACCGACTAGACTGTTAGAAGATCACACCAAATTCCAGCTGCAGTTTTCGAGACACGCAACTCGGGCAAAATGATGGGAAATTACTCGGTGCGCTGCGAGCCGGGCCTAGTGATGCCGCTCTGGCGTCCGGTGGAAAACCTGCATCTAATTGACATCATCTTTCGAGGCCTGGTGTACTTCTCCTGTTGTTGTATCTGTTCATCGGCGTGTCGATCATCAGCGATCGCTTCATGGCGGCTATCGAGGTGATTACGTCCAAGGAGAAAGAGCTTGTGGTGCGTCGTCAGGGCAGAGAGCCGCAGATCGTCGTGGTGCGAGTGTGGAACGAGACGGTGGCCAATCTGACCTTGATGGCGCTCGGCAGCAGCGCTCCTGAGATTCTGCTGTCCATTATCGAGATTTGGGCGAAGAATTTCCAGGCTGGCGAGCTAGGTCCGGGTACGATCGTCGGCTCCGCCGCCTACAATCTCTTCGTCATCATTGCTTTATGCGTATTCGTGATTCCTAACGGAGAGACCCGAAAGATAAAGCATCTGCGTGTGTTTTTCGTCACGGCCACTTGGAGCATCTTCGCTTACGTGTGGCTCTACATTATCCTGGCGGTCTCCAGTCCGGGTGTGCTGGAGGTCTGGGAAGGCATACTGACCTTCTCTTTCTTCCCGGCCACAGTTTTGACGGCTTACGTCGCCGATCGACGGCTGCTGATCTACAAATATCTGAACAAGGGCTACCGAATGAACAAGCGGGGTGTGATCGTACAGGCGGAGGCCGGGGATTCCGAGGTGGGGGTGGAGCTGGAGATCAAGCCTCAACAAGATGGTCTCCACGGCATGGTGGACCGCCTGGCCGATGCTGACTCCCCTGAAGCGCGGGAGTTCGAGCAAACTCGAAGAGACTACATTAATACTTTGAAAGAATTGCGCAAAAAGTACCCTGCTCTACCGCTGGAACAATTGGAAGTCATGGCTCACGAAGAGGTACTGGGTAAGGGCCCGAAGAGCAGGGCTTTTTACAGAGTGCAGGCTACGAGAAAAATGGTGGGCGCGGGGAATCTTAGTAGGAAGATCAGCGAAAGAGCGCAAAGTGACCTCAGCGAGGTCAAGGCCGAGTTGCAGAAAGCGGAAGCCGAGAGTATCGACATTGAACACGTCAATGCCATGAGAGTGTTCTTTGAACCCGGTCATTATACCGTGATGGAGAACGTCGGAACCTTCGAAGTGGGAGTTACTAGAGCTGGAGGCGATCTCAGCAGACCCTGCAGTGTGGATTATTGCACGGAGGATGGTTCCGCCGAAGCAGGATCTGATTATGTCAGCGCTAAAGGCACTCTAAACTTCGCACCTGGCGAAACCAATAAGACCATCAAGCTCTCTGTTATCGATGATGAATTGTTTGAAGAAGACGAGCATTTCTACGTTAGGTTGGTGAAATGATCATTATTTTTGCAAAATGATAACATATTTTCGAAGAGGAGAATAATATTTCACATTAAAAAATTAAAACAATTATACTTTCGCTAAAGTTTCATTAAACATCGTATTCTTTACGATTTTGCATATTTCAACATTAAAATCGAATAAATATTTCGATATTTATATCCTCAGTTTAAGATTCTATTAAAAAATCCACTTGAGAAATTCGATCAAGAATAAAATTTTTGTATTCGGTTTTGCAAAATTTAGATTGCAAAAAATTACTTATATGATATTAATAATCGCAAATATATATTATTTATTATCTAGATTTTTATCAATTGTATATCACGTATAATTATTATGCTAATCTCAATAATTTATGGTGGCTAGATAGCTTGTGGCATTTTAAGTCACTATATTATATACAGGGTGTTTCATAATGTCCGTGCCAACGCTCGTGTGCAGGTAGACTGACGAATAATCACGCGTTGCGCACGGCTACACTCTAGGCGTGACAGCAACGAGGATCGCACGGCAACGAAAAATAATAACACGTATTACTCTTGCTCTCGCCATGCGTTGTTATTTTCCGTTGCCGTGCGATCCTCGTTGCTGTCACGCCTAGAGTGTATGTACAGCCTACGGTCTAGCCGCGTGCAACGCGCGATTATTCGTCAATCCTTTTTAATTAATATCTCAATTATTATTGCGAAAATTGCAAAACGGTAAAGAACTTTTTTACTCAGTTTACCGCACTCTACTCGCACACGAGCGTTGACACGGACATTATGAAACACCCTGTATGTAGAAACAATTTTATGCGATCGGGTTCGCTTTCGAAAGAGGCGTGGTTCTTCAAAGTGCATCTATAATGCATCTAGCGTACTATGATCATTGACTATCGGCAAGGGGCAATCATCCAATTCATTTCAAACAAGTGGCATCCGCAATTTAATCAGCGAATAAGCCGTTACTAATTGATTTAATCAAAGGCATTAAGAGCGATTAGCGTGACTATTCTTCTTCATAAAACTCAAGCTCTTACTAGCATTCTTAATTAACATTTATACACACAGAATGCAATTACTACATGATTAGTATATTCAATTAAGCAGCATATATTTAATTAGTTTATTTCTATTTCCCGTATTCTTTGTCTCTTTTATTGTAAATGTCGTAATCGTTAAAATTGAACAATGATAATGTTACGAGGAAAATGTTTATAATTAATTCAGTCTGTTTACGTAGAAAGAAATTGCTCCCTTGTCGCATTACAAAATACGCTTACGCATAAATGATAAAAGATGTTCGATTGGTATCACATATACCGCCGACTTTAGAGCTATTCTTTAGTTATATCTTTTGCATGATATTTTTCTCTTTTTTTCTTTCGATCTTTTTACGTGTATATATCTATATTTTATGCAAGCACGGAGATGTGTTTCTCGGTGAGGTCAATAAAGTATAACTAGAACGAATACACGAAGAAAATTTTATATAACAAATTACTATGATACGGCAGTAGTCGCGCACAATAAGAGGAGTTATAAGTTTAAATACTATGTGAAAAACATAATAAAAATTTTTATAACTCCTTCACAGTCCGCGAGTACTGCCGTACATAATAATTTTTGATATAAAATTTTCTCCGTGCAGACTCTTTTATTTCACGCCATTATTAGAAATTGTACAAGCAAGGTAGCCTCATATTTAAATTATTTGGAACGTAACTTTGCATGTCAGATTGCATCGTGAGGTCGCGCAAAAATCGCACATGCATGTACACTTAAATTTATAAGTAAAATGTACGCTGAGATAAACGTATTTGATAATTCGATGAAAATAACCCGCGGAGGATATTAAATTCGCTCGTTTCTGTATTTCTGCATCGATTACAGAAAAGTGTTGCAGCGATTATTAGCGATGTGGGTCGAGGAGAAAACTATTGTTACTTAATAATCTTTGTATGCCTCACGAGTTTGAATTTAATTATCGGTGTAAACTATAGATTTTCTTATCTCGCGCAAATAGTATTCGTTCAATGAGCGCGTTATTATAAAAAAAGCAGAATAAATAAGATAAATAAATATTAAATAAATAATAAAAATATAATAAATAAATAAATAATGTAGAAAACAAAGACTATTGTTTATATCGCGAAATAAAATAGAAGAATTTAGATAAGAGTAAAAAGCAAAAAAGCATCTTATTCAGAAAAGATATCAAAGGAGGCCAGATAAAAATAAAATCCTGGAGAAATCTCCTCTGAATGGCCAACATTCAGCGTTGAAATTATAGAGCGGATCATCTGCAAATCTGATTAAAAGTATTCTATAAGATGACATTTTTAGACGGAAAATAAAAGATTTGTCTACCTCCGAATTATAGGATATGCAATCAAGAGCTTGTCGATCCGAAGGACGTAAAAGCTATTTATATCACAGTGATTGCAGAAAAAATATTAATTAATTATTTTAAAATTTAATTAATCTTTAATAAATAAAACTTATAAAAATAGATATATCTCCTTTTTAAAAATACAAATATGACGACTTAAAGCAGCATTTTTGTTTTGAAAATTTTATTATTATAGCATGTGCTATCGTTTTGCTAAACTATTATTCTTTTGTTAATACCTAATAAATTAGTGTGAGAATTTTCTGATTTTTTTAGGCTCAGTAACGTGTCACAGCCAGCAATGCTCGTCTCGCCAAGCCTGGCGACAGTAATGATTTTGGATGATGATCACAGCGGCATATTTGGTTTCCCTGAAAGAGACGTGGAGCTAGTGGAAAGTGTGGGCCAGCATCCCCTACGAGTGATACGCTACAGTGGGGCCCGAGGTCGTGTTATCATTCCCTATCGCACTGTGGAGGGCACCGCAAAACCCGGCAAGCAATACGTGCATACCGAAGGCAGTCTAACTTTCGAAGATAATCAGACAGAGTGAGTAACATATACTTCCCGTCCTTTTTAATGTTACAAAATCAATTATTAATCATAGAAATAATTAATCAGAGAAATAATTAATTAGAATAATTAATTATTCGGAATATTTGATCGTTACGTGATTATACAAGTTTTCCTTTTTTTATTCTTTCCTTCGAAAAACCAATTTAATCGCAATAAATTCCTTATTTTAATAAAGAAAATTCTACATTTCTAAAAATAGTCAACCGTACGAGACTTAAATTAAAATGAAAGAAAAGGAAATATACGATATCTGAAAAAAATATCTCGAAACTGAGGAACAATTATGTTAAAGTTATTGTGTTCCGAGTAAAAATGAAAAAGGTGGTACCACGATTTTCATAATATCTAGTTTCTCGATGGACAAGTTACTGCAACTCGTAAGATTGCATCAAATGAATGTCGTGAGGTCGTAAAGGTCTACGCCGATAAGAAATTCACTGCCAAGAGGTAAATATACGGTGCCATCGCGATCAGATCGCAAAGAGAAGATATAAAAGAGAACATCACAATGTTTACTATGAATTAATCAAAAACACAAGGCTATTCAAAATTATATTTTCATTAAACGCTAATAATAGCGTTACTGGGTAGTGTTATCGGATTGTATCAGTTACTAAAGGTACTTATGGAGAGCATGTTACAACCGCGATGGTTAAGCACAATGTAAGGATCGATCGCTATCTCTAAGGTACGATCAGTAATTAGAAACTTACACTGAATAATTACATAGCCGGATGTTATCTGGTGCATACTTCACTTCATAAATTAGCGGTGTAAAATTACTAAGAATATTGCATTTCAAACACCGAAATAGATATATTGCATAAGATATATAGTATAAAGATAAAAGTTCTTCTAATTATTTTAAGATCTATCGTGTAAATGTTACGTTATTACGAAACTATATTAATTGATAAAATACATATAAATAGATTATTTGATAGATTATTTGATTTACATATTTTTACCAATTTTGAGTCGTTTCGTATTATACCACAAATACATATGTGGCCATCGAAATGTTCCATAATTATATTCGAGCGAATGCAGATCACTTGTCTACTGCAATTAACTACGCAACAGGGGATACTGCACGATGCTACAGTGTACACAATGCATTCCTATCGCAGCTTGATCAGTAATTAGTGACTTGTAGGAGACAATTAGAATTTCGCTGCCCTTTCACACGTTTACAATCAGAACTTTGTTTCACAAAACTGTGAAATTTGACAATAATATTAAAACAATATCATTAGAAAATATTCTATATATTTTCTTACATACATATATTAATATAAATTTTTTAAAACTAATTTTTTTATAAAACTAAACTTTTATGATTTTACAATTGTATTATGGAGATTAGCATTTAATACATCTTTATCGTAAATTGTATCAAAAATATATATAATTTGCACAACATTAATTATTCAAAAAATATAGAAGTTCTAAAAATATTTCAAAAATAAGCTCTGCTTATATAAATAAAACGCGCAAAATTCCGATATGTCGGAATCGTGGTCTTCAATGATACCGGTCTGTAATTGACCAATTAGTCAGTGACAGCTTATTGTTGGAATTCAGCCTACAACTAATTTAACGTTGAGTAGCCTGACGTTGCGTAATTGGAATCATCTCGCAGACTTTTCGTGGAATTATTTCTTGACAGTAAATTCATTAATTTGAACGATAAAAATTTATTATATATAATATGTTTCTATTTCATTTTAAATAACAAAAATGTACTACAATTAGACAATTTTTATTCTATTCTATCAAATAATCGCAATTTATAGTATCTTATCCTTTTTTGATCTTGATAAAAAAAAAATTGTGGCGTGTTAGGTGAGAGACGTAATGCTACACAGTCACGTTGATAAGTATCGCCAGATTGTCGCCACCCTTGGATAAAAATAGGAGTTTTCTGAGATAAAAGGACTAGAAGGATGACAAATACTTTACTCGTGAGAAACGGATAAATTCGTCGAATAATTCCTAAGGAAGTTTTATTGATCGCCGGCAAAGTTTTTGTGTAGTTTTCTCTTCAAATTATTAAACTGCATATTAATTTATATTATTGCTTTAAATATAATTAAAATTTTTTTAAAATAATTCATAAATCATTCTTGTTCTCAATCTGAATTCTGACAATCGCATCGTAATACTCGTTTTCAATGTGTGTGACTCTCTAATTTCTCGCAATTGTTCGCAATCTCTCGGGCTTCATAAACAACGTATTGAAATCAATATATGAAATTTTTCTGAAAGAATTTAACGTTAAATTGAAAACACGTTTTTTAAGTAAAAATGTTTTAAACAAAAAAAAATAGTAATACTTACTTACTTAAATAGAGAAATGTTTTCGGTAATTAAAAATTATATAAGAATTATTGATGAATCCGATCGTTATTGTCTCAACTTTGATTATGTTATTCAAACTAAATGAATAATTTAGAGATAATATTGCGCGTTTTACAATGCTCTCAATTCATCTTCAAACTTTTCATACTAGACTTCTAACTTGAAAATAAATCTTTTCTAAACTTTCCGCTCTGACACGATCTATTTAAGGAATGTTCAGAGTTTGTGAGATGTTAAGTTGCTTTTCGAAGTGACCTACAAACGAGGTTGGAATACGTTATTATCGAATTGTAGCGTTCATTATCTATATTTAAGAAGATTTAAAAATATGTCATAATAATTGATCGCAAAAATCCCTTTTTTTTGTTTACTTTCTTAGCAAACACACAACTGTCTTGTGTTAGCTGTATTACCGCACAAATATCGATCGCAGAATAAAATAATAAGAAATTTGAATTTGACAATAAAGAAAACGATTTGCGCGAGAAAAAACTAAGTTTATCGATTTAGAAGGTTTAGTTTAAAATTAAATTGCTAAATATAAAAGTGCTCACTCTGAGGGTGGGACTTTCTCTAAAGGGCACTCAAGAGTTTCCAGTGAAGCGATGCGTCAGATTTTATAGGACGCATCCAGTTCTATCGCGTAATTTTTTGACGAGAGTTTTTAAAAACAAATGTTGCTTTTTCCTCTGCAATTTTTAATAATTGCATCAGCAAGAATCTTTATTTCATTTTTTTTTCAAATTAAAATGGCTTCCGCATAACATTTATCACGATCAGTAGTAGCTTAATATTTTAAGAGTTAATACTAAAAATATCCATGCCTAGCTCTGATATTACCTGTTCTTACCTGAAACGTGCGCGAAATGAAAAGTATGGTGTATCGAGGTCAGTAGGGAACGATAATGGACATCGCGTTCACGCGAAACGTGCGATTTTGCCTTTACGACCCCATTAGACACGGGTTTCTCCTATGTCTTTACCTTGCTTCGTGGGAAAATTATCGCGATAAAATTATCGCCAGTAACACGTGTGGCAAAATTTCCCGATCTCGATGAAAGTTTCAGCCAAGTATAAACGAAGGCTTTTGGCGCCGAGAAAAGGTAGCAAGAAGGCTGTTAGCTTTAAGTTCCACGTTCTGATTTCATGAAAAATCGAGACGGTACTTGGCGAAAAGTGAGATAACTGAAGAAATATATAAAGATAAAATGATGCAAATAGAGTTTAAATATAATCAAATAAACAAGTGTTACGTCTCAATTTTTACATTAAGACAATAATGTTCGCTTAATGCAGCGCATGTGGAGCAGGGGAGCGTCCATTATCGGCACCACATGGTGGATTTTGACATCTTTGAAAACCTCTCGAATGTGATTTTAGCATTCCCGTTCCATTAGCTACTGTTTTGCCAAGTCAGCCGTCACTTCGGCCTTTCTTATTTTGCCTGATAAAAATGATCGAAATAACTGGCCGCATCGTCCGACACACGTTTTGCAAATTTTTTTCTCGTTTTTTTAAATAGAATTATTTAGATTTCTTTTTTAGCAACTTGTTTAAGTAACATAAGCAGCTGTTTCATTTCTGCTTCGTAATCAATACGTTAAAATATGCATAAAGATACATCTTTTTTCTCTTCTCCAAAAAACACGTAAAATATCTATAAAACAGAGTGTTTTGTTTAATTTAATTTAATTGTTAAGACAAGCTAGTTGGACAAGCAATCTGACCGTGAAGAATATAGAGTGCAACGTAGAACATTCCACGGGTTTCCCACCCCTTCATTGGCCCATTTATGAGCTCGTGCGACACTTCGCGTCGCGATGTCTCGTCTTGTTGCTATTGTACTCGCATGCTTCATTGTATTCGTCTTCGTCCCGTCAATAAAACGAAATCTATGACAAATTATCTTTTACGAGAATGCACACTCGGTGTACATTTTTCCACGGTGTCGCATGAAATTCGTTTAATATGCAAATAAAAAATATTTTAAACGCGTAAATCGTGTAAAAAAATATAAATATTAATGATAAAATTAAAAAATGTACGCTATATTTGACCGTATTTCATACCGTTCATCACATTTAGAAGATTAGTGCATAAATCACAGGTTATAGAGAGTGAAATAAGATGAGATGAGAGTGAGGGGCGAAAATGAATGTTTGCGGAGCGATTATGCCGAGGGCTGTGCAGAGCATGAATAAATACTGATGTGTGCTCCTGCTTTGAAAGATTGCTTTGATTGCCAGGGCAATACGTAACATTCATGCAAACAATGTCTCGCTACATTGAATATCCAAACATAATGTTCAAAATACGCAACATTTTTCTCCCGCGTTGTATATTCAACATACGCTTCTCTAGATTCATTAACATAAATACAAGGTTAAAATTCTTAATAAAATTTATGATAATAATTCAATCAAGTTTTGTGGAATTGCAGAAATACGCAATAAAAATTTTTAGTAAAAATTTAAAGAATATAATTCCACGAATATCGATCTAACATGATTTAAATCTAAATTAAGTTTCCCTAAATGTTCTCGGTTCCGTGAATTGCGGGATATGTTTATTTATCTGTGAAGTTTGCAGTGTGCGTTTTGCGTAACGCACAC